GAGGGCTTCACCCTTAGATTTCTTTGTTGTTGCTGTTGTTATTTTTTTAAGCATCCGTACTGAAAAGGAAACCGCCAACTTCGTCATTACTTTAGAGATAAAAATGTTTTGTGACAGACAGACTGACACGGACAGATTGACAGATGAATGTGATTTAATGTTCCCTCACTTATGCGAAAGCGGGGGGGGGGGGGGGGGGCAATAAGAGTGAACATGTATCCACATCCCCATATGAGAAAGCAAGGGAACATTAAATCTCATTCGTCTGTCTGACAGTCTGTCACAAAAACTTTACCCTTGGTCATAACTTTTGAATGAGAAGAGATAAGGCTTTCATATATCACATGCACATTACCTATGACAAGATCTTTCCAAATATACTTTGATTTTTGACCCAGTGACCTTGAAGTTTGACCTACTTTTCAAAAATTTTAACATTATCTTATTTTAAATTGTCATAATTTTTGAATGAGAAACGATTGGGTTGTCATATTACATATGTATATGACTTGTGACAAGACCTTTCCAGATATGTAAATGTAAATATATTTGACCCCGAGACCTTGACCTTGAAGTTCGACCTACTTTCCGAAAATTTTATCTTTATTCTTAACTTTTGATTGAAAATAGATAGAGCTTTCATATTCGGCATGTACATTACCTGTGACAAGAACTTTCCAAATATACTATGATTTTTGACCCCGTGACCTTGAAGTTTGACCTAGTTTTGAGAAGCTATAATATTTGCCATGTACAAGACAAGACACACAAACAAGACAGTTACAAGATGCCATAAACAATGGCATCCCATCCACTAAGGCACCGAAAGCGGGAACTACAATTCTTTGAATTTGCTTGTTTAGAAAACTCCTTCGTACCCGACGCTGACAAAGAATCATTATGGAATATACTAAATATAGACGTCAGAAAATTCATAAACAAAAATTAATAGTCCACCATCGTACTTTTCTTTTGGTAAGCGATATATGAATAACATTCATACTAACATAAGACATTGCTGTATACTAAACTATGATTTGTGTAAACGAAATATTATATATAGTCCTTTATGTAAATGTGGAAAACATGAAGATGTGTACCTTTTTTTTTTTTTTTTTTTTTTGCATGCAAAAATTATTTTTTTGCTCGAAGTAATCTTTTCAATCGCCTGTTCATGCTTGGACTGGCCACTTTTGATTTAAATCTATCATTACGAGAGTTGATCCAAAAAGTAATGTCACAACTGTTATAAAATCTTTATTAATCAAATGTTATCAACATCATTTTATATACTAATACCTCTATCTAGTTTGACTTTTGGCTTAAAATTTTATTCCGATATACTCAGTACTTTTTAAACTATTAAAATAAACACAATGTTGGGTCTCATCTATCGCCGCACGTCAAGAACGTACCGACATTGTGATGAAGTTTTTCTTCGGCACTCATTTTCAGTTCATCCGCAACTAATATCTGCGCAAAATGGAATGAATTTAAAAAATATTATTTGAACAAAGTTCAAATTATTTTGACACAACTGCTCAAAACAAGAAGCGTCTCAGCAAAATCGCAGTAAAGACTATTTAAAAGAAGCACGTGAGAGGTTTATTAAGATACAGTGTATCTAGACATAACCTAACGTTGTGCTTATGCTAATACTTTAAAAAGTATTCTATCCAATCAAATGAAAGTTTACGGCAAAAATCAAAATAGATAGAGGAGTAAATATTTGAAATTTTGTTGATAACATTCAGTTATTAAAGAATTTATACCACCTGTAACGTTACTTTTGGATCCACCCCCGTATGAGGTCATGTAAATTTGACTTTACAGATAAAAACAGTATTTTTGCTGCTGTTTATAAATTTATTGATTTAACATGTAGATTCTCTTAGTTTATATGTTATTTAATTAATTGCTTTTCATTTGTATCAGTTGTGTTATTTTTCTTGTAACATACTAGTATAAGGAGAGGAACCAGTAAGTTATAAGAACTTGTTTCCTATCCTTTTGATGTAGTTTATAAAATATGTTCAAAACAATTGTAAGAACTAAAATAAAATGCAGAAGTTTAGAAATACATTGTAGAACTCCACATAAAAAGCTGCTCAAAAGCTCAGGATCGAACCTCCTTAAGGAAATGCGCTCCTCAGTCGGAATCATAACTCTTAAAATTATTAATTAATTGAATAAGTCTCAAAATGAAACTTGACACTGAATTTTTTCCGTTCAATAATTTTCTTTCTCCTTTCACACATCTTAATATGATTCCTTGAAGCCATGGAATTGGTCTAGTAAAAACCTTTATTAGCATGAAATAAAATTGGAAGTAATCTGTGATATCTTGTAATGATATCATTTGCTTTTTGCACTATGTATTTTATAACAATTGAAGTTAATAGAAAAAAAAATAATTACCTCAAAAATATAAAAACATGTATTTTTTTTTTTCTAAATGCAAGGATACCTATAGTTTTATCCTAAAATATACGTGCTTTCGAAGGATGGTTTTCAAAATTCGTTCATATCAAGATACATGTATTGGAATTTCAACTTTCAAAAACTGTTCTGAATTGTGTAGCACCCGTTTGGACTTGTGTTGTGAGGTATGGGGCCTCCGAAACTATCACAGAGATGGTACAGAATTGCGCACTTTGTTACTACTTAATTGAGTGTTCTACTTAATTGAGCTTCCTTTGAAACAGTACTGTATTAGCGCTATACGATATTGAAACCGCTTACTGACGACGGAGAAGAACCGCTCGGACACTCTGCAGAAATTGGCACTACTTAGCCTTGCAGGACCTCTTTTGATTGAATCTCGGAATGTGCAACGTGAAGATATATTATCTTAAAATAATGAAACACTTTTACAGAAATACGTTCTTTCAACAAAGAATTTTGTATTTATTTATTGATTTAATCATTTTTGTTCTTGGAAAAAAATATAACATGGATACATTCAAGCATACATGGTAGCTTTAAAGGCTATCGAAATGGAGCCCAGTCATACATTCCTCGATCTCTTGTTAGTTAAACTTTGTAAACTATCAATCATACCTTTCGTTTAAGTTGTTAGAGGAAACTCTTTTCATTTTGCAAAATTGCGCAATATCACTAATAATATCCTCAAACTACCGAGAAATCTACATTTTAGAGTTTAAATTTCCATGCATAATATACATTTTATATGCTCGTATAATACATGTATACATATTTTATTCGTATTTAAGGTGGTACGATCCCCAGGTCCAGAAAGTCAGTTGGGAATTGAAAATGCCCACAAAAATGTCTCCGAAATCTCAAAATAATGTGTATTTACCCAAGGTATTTCTTCAAAATTTATCATTTAAGTTAATCGTATTATATAGGGAAAAATATTAAATCTCAATTATATTTTAAGGAAATGCCAATCAAAGTACCCGCTATGCATGTTTTGATTGAAAAATTGATCAATAAATATATTTTATGATAAAAAATTATAGGTATCCAGGCATTTGGAGAAAATTGTGCTTTCATACTAATTCGTTACTTTAGTTCTTCTATATAGTTCAATTGTTACAAAATAAATAGTGTAAAATGATTGTACTATCATTGTAAGACACCATAGATCACTTCCAATTTCATATCATGCTAATAAACCTTGGTATCTAAGGCTTGTTTAAAGGAAATTCGGTTTCTATGAAAATGCATTTATTTTTCTACTTCATGGAGTATAAATGTCAAATTTTTACATTACCGTTTCTTAGTCTTAAAAAAATCATACTGAGATGCATAAAATAAAAACTGTTGCACGAAAAGGTTTCAATTTCAAACTTAATTTTGAGACTTTTTAAATTAAATAATTTTAAGAGTTATCCTTCCTAGCTGAGGATCGGATATCCTTAAAAGAGAAAGTTATTTTTATAATGTATTATCAAGATAATAATTATACCTAATCCTATAATAAACCTGTGATTTCTTTTTTCTTTTAAAAATATCAGGGCGACCTCCTCAGAGAGTGTTTCTAAGAGGTTTCTTCAAACATATGTTGTTCATCATAAGCGAATACGAGAGTGAATGTGCATTATTCTTTCGCAAGAATGTATATATATGTAAATACTTTTGTTTTAATTATTAGTGGAATATTCTTTTTTTATTATTATTATTTTGGATGAGTTGGTTTTTGGTGCAAAATTCATAGGAGGGACAATGCAATAGTTGGGTTAAGATATTCGTTTTAAAAAATCATTTGTGTAAAAAAAAAAATTCAATTTTCTACTTTGTGCGATATAAGTTTTTTGCTAAAATACGTTTTCAGTAGCCTATTGTTTACATTTTCTATATCAAAAATGATTCTTCGTCTAACAATCATCGATGGCCTTTAGTATAATTTTCACAGTGACTATGAATTGAGTACCCCAAAGAGGATCTCTTTCCAGTCCACATTTTATATGACGCCATTGTAATATTTTGATCACCTTGCAATTGTCGATGAGTCTACTCTGAGCACTCGTTAATTAGAAACAACTGATAACAGAAGGGGGATGCCGATCGTGTGGGTATTACGTTAATACATCTGTAAATCAGAGCCAAGAACTGCAGGACCCCTGCTGGAAGAGCATGCACGTGTATAGTTCTGAAATGTTACTTGTTAAAAAGTGATTGATGACCACCTGTTGGTAAAAGGGGGATGGGGAAAATCGCTTCTAAGCAAAGGACACAATGTTCCTTCAGAAAATTAAAAAATAAATATATGTGTGTCCAAAAAAAAAAACCTTACATGCATGTATATAAATTTCTTTTCACAAATATTTTGAAAAGTTGATTTGCAAGTGTTGCAATTTCCCTTGAATACAATTATAATGACCCCCCCCCCCCCCCCCCCCCCCAGTGGAAACGTCAGTTGTCGGCCGTTCATCAGAACGCGATTTATCATTTTTGATGCACGTAACAGTTTTTTTCAGACATGGCGCATGGAGCCGACTTTTTCACCTTGACCATTGTTACGGTTGGAAACGATAGAAGCATATATCGGAATCCCTCTCCAATCCGCCATATGTTTATAATTAAACACCACACTCTGCCAATTAACATCTCTGTTTTACCCTCTTCCATAAGCCACAGATTTCGGGGGGTGTGAATCTTTTCTATTCAGGATTCTAGGATTTCTCTCTCTCCTTTGGATTTCTTTCACTTCTATTAAGACAGAAATATGAACTAATTTCTCTTCACATAGGAATTAGGTAAGTTGCACGATGATTAAGTTTTTGTGTTTTCAAAGTTACAATTTTTCTTTTTTAGTACAATTTTTTGTTTTGTTGCAGAAGAATGTTGATACTGCATCCTTAAATTGGTTACCCAGATAACATTTTATTTATTTATTGTTTTGTTTTTTAATGTGTAATATGAATGTAAATTGAAGGTTGCTATAGCAACATTTAATATACTTATAGAAACTTCAAAAATAAACATTTAATATGTTCAGAAATTTCTGTTCTGTCACATGATTTTAAAGTAATAATTTCCGTTTTAATGCATGCAATTGTTTTCACTTTGTGGAATGAGCTAGTACTCGTTTTCAATATTTTCTCCATTCAGCTACAGCTTGTAGCTTATATTATGTGGAACATATTTCATTTTCCATATTTATTTCCTTAAAGTCTTAGGTAAATCTTTCCATATAGTTTTTTATTTTTTTTTTTTCTAAAGGATAAAATTTCTTATAATAATTCCGAACAATCTGACTACATGTATATTGTTTTGTTTTGTATGTAATGTTAAATTTGTTTCTTTTGTTTAAAAGTTTTTAGACTTTGTCAAAATTTAGATTAGTAGTGAGTTCCTCTTCTGATGTGCATTGATCATTCAGCCATTCATAAATATCAACTAACTTTTATGAATGTTACGACCTGCCAAACTATCCTCCTAGCATACTTATAACACGATATTTTTATCACTAATGCAAGAAAACTATGCGAACAACTGCGTAATAGCAGATGGCGTAATCTGGAAATGGTATTAATCCACCTACAAGCAGAGATGTGTTTTCATTATCTTACTCAAAAATAGAATTTCAATGCATAGTTTGTCGCTAAGATTATGTTTCCATTAATTAAGCAAATAAGAATACAGAAAAATAATACCTGGAAACAAATAATAGATTTTCAAGTTTCGAGTTTTTTTCTTCTTTCAAATTTCAAGATATCTTAAGAGGCTTCAGTTAAGTATGTATAAAAGACAGAATAATTTGAACCACGAATGTATTATCATGTTTTAAATTTTGAATTTTCCAGGTGGAGGTAAATGCAAACTTTACAACATGATAACTTGTTACAAATTTTGCATTCATCTCCGCCTAGTAAATTCAAAATTTAAAACATGATAGTAAGCCATGTCGTTGAAATTAAGCTCATTTGGAATAATAAGTATACGTGTTTAATAGCAAGAGCTATACATATTTTATGCTGACATTGGCAAGATATTCTGTTACTAGAAGAGCAGTTCGTGATCGCTACCGAACTGTACCATTAACAGTTGTCTTGCTTGTTCCTCTTGATGGTGGATTAGATTGAGCTGACCTGTCGTCAAAGAACTAGCTGGACGGTATATTCATATTGCTTTGTTTAGTACATTGGCATGTATAGATCTAATGTTGGATCGATTTAGGACATGCATGTGTTATTATATAAATAGTGCACGTTTTTGAGGGTAACAGTTGAAATTGACACCCCAAGGAAAACCATTGTCAACCGACGCGTCAGCGGAGGTTGACAATGGTTTTCCGAGGGGTGTCAATTTCAACTGTTGCCCTCAAAAACGTGCACTATTTATTTTATTATACTGAATGTCTTATTGATTTCGGGTGTCATAAAAAAATTCGGAGATCGTCGTTAAGTTCACGTTTAGAAAGCTTTCAAACTCCCCGCTTCTATTTTTCTCAATAAGAAAGCTTCGGAAAAGATTTACCAACCTCTTTATTGTTTGTTTGCTACTCAAAAAGTCCTTTATCATCTAAAGTGTGCACTCGCAAGGATGTTTCGTCTGTCGTTTGTTGTTTTCAGGTAAGCTACATCGGACGGAAGCTTTTAATGACGTAGTTTATTCGGCTTCTTTCAAACGCACAACCGACGTTTTGAGAATTCTACGGTGAACCGTACGCGCATGATTTGAACGCATGTGATATTTTCGTAATGTTACCCGTTGTCAAGTGTGTTGCTAACTCTGAGGGTAACATTACGGATTGTTAAGTGCGTCTAAACCAATCAGATTTTAGTATTTAACATGAAAGTATAATAAAAATGAATGTATGAATAGCTCCCTGAAACATTCATCATTTGCGTAACTAAGAGAAATTCCCAGCTCCCATCCCATGACAAAATAGCTATGTTGTACACGCACAGAAGCAATCTCCAAGCTTAGTTAAAACAAACTAACAATCTGTATTTATTTTGAGAACAATATCTTTTTTGCCCATAAACATTTTGTGTCAATGAGCTAGTACCAGGCTAACGCGTAATATGCTGACAAGACTTGCATATTAATAAAACAGGTCAAAACAAGCAATGAAAGTGTTTGACACCGAATACTACATATATGTTGTAGATCATAATGTCCGTGGTGAAGGCTGGCGTACTTGAGGGATCGTCTGACTCTGAGGAGGAGGTCCACGTTTATAAACTTAAAATTCATGACACAGATGTCAAGGACGCCGGGGAGTGGAGAGTCGAGGTCGCAGACAAATACGGCTCTACCTCCACGTCATGTAACCTTGCTATTCTCGGTAAATATTCTCTAATTGAAAAATTACATTTTTTGCTATTTTTAATTATTTTCTAAAATTATATACGTAAAAAAAATTATTTATTTATTTTAGTTTTATTTACTTATTTATTTATTATTTTTTGCAAAAATTAATAATTTTGGGGGTTTTGAATGCATTCTAAAGGGGACTACTAAAATTGATTTTAGTCATGTTCTCCATTTATTTATATTTAAATATATTTTTTTTTGGGGGGGGGGAGGGGGGATACATATTACATTGATTTATGACCGCATTTTAATATTAGATGATCCAAAACCAAAACCATCAGTGACGTATGCGGGTAAAGTCAGCAAGGGGAATAACTTTGACGATGAGGAAGTTCATCTGTACAAACTAAGGATTCATGACGCTCAGGCGACGGATGCCGGAAGATGGCGCTGTGAAGTCGAGGACAAGTATGGTTCCACGTCATCTTCCTGCAATCTTCTTCTTGGTGAGTTTTTTTTCCCGATTTTTTATTTCTTCAGAATTCTAAAAACAAATTCTACGCAGTATCACTGTGAATGCTATAAGGTCTACTGCATGGTTATTACAAAATTATTCCGACGTGCTTTATATACTTGTTCTTGTCAAACATCTCTGAAAGAAGAGATTGAGAATATTAAAGCTATTTATGGAGTATCTGAGCTAAAAATTAAAAATACGAAATTGAGTGTAGATGAACATGGTATCATTTGTTATTTACGTTCAGATTAAAATTTTCACCGATTTTGAACTTGAATAACCCCACGTTTCTATAGTTAAATTGACTTTAAACTGTGTTTGATATTTAAATGCGGAGTCGGTAAATAAATCGGTTATTGTTTTAAATTTCTAATATCTTTGAAACGTGATTGATTTAAATATTGTGTAAAAAGTACTTTCTTTATATAAAGTAATAAAACAAATAGAAAGATCTTTTTGATTTTAGTTAATCTGAACTTATCAAAATACTCCATATATGACTTTTAATGAATTAATAACTATAATTTTTTTTTATATTTCACAAAGTTATGTGATTAAGGACCCTCTATACACTAAAGGAAAAGATTTTTTGGACACTGAGAAAATTATAGTGTATAAAGGTGTAAATATTGAGCTTATCTATCACATTTTCAACATAGGATACTTTGCATTTACCCCCAGGAAAAATGTTCAAAGACAATGAAGTACTATGAACAGAAATAACTGTTGCTTACTTTAATTGGGCAAAATACCTGCAAATGAAGTGTTCAGTCTATTCATCTTGGCCTATTTTAAAAAATGTCATGAATGCTTGATTTGATTACAGATTAAGTAATAAACTGTACATTTCAATTTATTTTATTCTTGAACAAAGTGCAGATTACTCTATCTGCATAAAAATACCACAAAATCAGAACTCTTTAGTGTGCAGTGTATAGAGGTCTCTTAAGGATTCACGATAAATCTATCAATGGCAAAAAAGCATGATACGGTTCCGCAATGGATACACTGTGGACAGAGCCAAGTTTTCTACAATGCCAATAACGATTCTTTTATCATGCTCCTGAAGATCATATTAGAATGACATTCGGTCAAGTTATGGGCATCAGAAGTTATTAATTATGTCGTTATTGAGTGTGTGTTTATACAACACAAATCAGTAAGGATTGACAATTAAATACGGAAATATTCTTAGTGTCCGTGATCAGTTGACGTTTAGCTTGCAGAATAAATTTCCAGTCAAAATTTTTAAAAAATATTGTCGTGTTGGAAATACACAGAGATTAAAACTAACCCTTTTCTGTCGGTAAAATGCTTCGACGAAATCCAACACGGATTGAACTAAAACTTCAGGACATGCAGGAATACCACGACATGAAAAAGGAGAAGGAAAACGAGCAGACGAAACAGCGATTATTGTCGGAACAGTGCCAAACTCCGACCACATCTGGCATTCATCCGATGTCTCACTTAGATAATCGAACGGTTCATGAACGTATTGGTTACGATCCCAAACCACTGCCACAACCCGAAAGAGCACCTCTTCACTGAGTCACCAAGGGGAATTTATTCCAGTTCTACAGAGTTGACATAATGACCTAGACAGAAGTGGCAGTGTTTTTGTGCTCGATTTAGAAGACTGCTGTTAAATCGTGTTAATAGGATATGAGAGAAGTGTTGTCGGCAATTTTATTGTTGTTAGACCTAATGGCTGTGTTTATGGCATTTGGAGATAAACAAATATACAGAAAAACGTGTATTGAACTGCAGTTACTTTAATGCCAGGCATTGATCTGGTTCATATGAGACCTTGTTTAATCTTCAGTCATATAAAAGCAGTTTTTTTGCTGTTCTTTTTTTATCTTCTAAATCTTCTAAAATATTCATTTCTTTATTGTAAAAATTGTGAATATATGTGCATGTGTAAACAAACTCATTAAATTTATAAGGAAAACAAAACTTAAAATGTTAGTTATTTTTAATTGGCTTATATTTATTTTTTTGTGTATATATGGCAATAATGTATTATTTTCCTGATTAGTATTTATTTACAGTGCGTATTACATATTCAATGGAAATGTGTGATTAGCTCTTTCATTTTCCAGAATTTTGATTTTTTTTTTTTTTTTTTGGGGGGGGGGGGGGGGGTCTGGGTGTTTATTTTGATGACAAGTCTACCATCTCCCATCCCCATCCAATTAAAGAGAGAAATTTTTTTGCCTCTGATCATCATGTCGGATGTTTTAAATGTTTAATATGTGCATTTCACATCTAGCTTGGAGAAATATTTTATTTGTGTGTTCAAATGACCATGCATGTACCATATTTAATAAATCATCCTCAGAATGCCCTGTGTCACAAATGAGATGCCACTAGATCATTGAAGGATTCAGTTCTTATGGAAGGGGGGGGGGGGCTGAGCTTTTGTTTTAAACTTGTAATTATATATATTTGCATTTTATGTTTATTATTGAAAGTTCATAAATCCATACAATTGGAATGTTTATTTTTAATCTGTAATTAAATACTATTGTCTGTTTAGTTCATTATTGAAATTTTTTTGTTTGTTTGTATGTTTATTGTTTAAAATCCCTCTCGAGAATTTTTCACTCATATGGAGATGCCACCACTTGCCGGTGGAGAGCTACAAATTTTGACCTATACTCAGCACTCAGGGCCATTGAGCAGTGAGGGATCTTTTTCGTGCCAGCACCTACTGCGACATGGGACCTCAGTTTATACGGTCTCATCTGTAGGGCCAGTCTCCACGTCCCACAGTGGGATTCAAACCCGCGATGTAAGGATCAACTCCTTACTTAGCCACTCTAGAGCGAATGCTCTAACCACTGCGCCACGCGGAGGACAATTATTGAAATTAAACTGTCCATAAATTCAATTAAACTTTGAATAGGTAGAACATACTAATGGGGTCAGGGCCAGGAGTAAATCCCTTTTCAAATATCAAAAGAAAAAATGTGTGCTGAATTTGATTTTTTTTTTTATCTTTCCAAGTTCTCAAATGTATGATTTGTCTGAACTTTTGAATTCAATTATAAAAATGAAGTAATTTTAGTTTAAAATTTTGTTCATGGGAAATACTTTTGTAAGATCTAAAGAATATGTCGGATATATTTAAGTCAATAGTATCTGCTTTGGCTTCAGGTTTTTACAAATATATAAGAGATGCTAAATTATAATAAAGTATTACTAAAATTGGGTCTAGGTGTTTTATATAAATTATTAATGTTTCAACAAGAACATTTTTTTTTAAATAAATACATAAATGGGTCTTTTTTTCATGCATAATTATTGAATACTAGTAGCTTCTTATTTCAACATATGAATTGATAGTAAGCATGGTAAGTAAGTAAGTAAATTATTTATTAAAGTGACATGCATATTGGTAGTTATATACAGTATATTTAACAACATAAACTTAGTTTCTCACACCAAGCCCAGAGGACCTATATGTCACTGTATTTTAACAATATATATATATATATATATATATATATATATATATATATATATATATATATATATATATATATATATATAATATATATATATATATATATATATATATTTAAAGGCGCATAAATGAAGATAAATGATATTTGAAAGTTCTTTTTGTGAAGTTCTGATGGGTTTTAAAAGCATCAAATATAAAGTTTGCAGAATGTTGGGGAAATTTACATAAAATATTGATATAAGTCTACTTTTTATGGGTTTTTCCCCTGGCCAAGTGTGCCCAACTGAGGTAGGTGACTTCAAAGGTGGGAGGGGGTGGGGTTTGAACTTATAAGTTTGACATGTGTAATGACAGCTTGATATATAGCATTCCATTTGCCTTTGTGTCAAAAATTGTGAAAATTATGGATACTTTATAATATGAAAACATTTAACTTGTCTATATTTTTTGGGGGGTGGGGGGTGGGGGGTATTGGCATCAGGAGATATGTGGTTAATAACCTCCCAGTGATAAATGACAGTGTAGACCTCTGATCTCTGTCAGTATTATGACTGTTTACCTCAGTGAGACTGTATCAAACCGTTGTCATAACCTGAAGCTTAATATGTCTATAAGTTCCTCATCCCTCTGATCATTCACATAAAATTTTGCTAAAGATCTTTTTGAAAGAATTATTTAAATTTAAATTACACTCTTTTTTACAGAAATGGCATTTCGACAATATAATCTTTATCCCGTTATCATCATATTATCCGAGGATTAATGAACCTTATTATGTCTATGTTGTCCTTTAATTTACTGCTAGTATAATTATTATGGTGAACATTTTTCATTTGCAAAAATGAAAAAAGAACACATCAGGCCCGTAGGAAGCAATTTCAGTTTGGGGGGGCACAGCCATACATTTTTCAGTTGACGTTGAGGGGGCACTACCAAAAATTTCCTGACAAGCAAAAAGAAAAAAAAAACATCAACTACCAAAATTCCTTAACAAGCAAAAAAAAAAAAAAAAAAAAAAAAAAAAAAAAAAAAAAAAAAAAGGTCATCAGACTTTTTTATTGAGGGGGCACAAGCACACATTATCTATGTTTAATATAGTAATCTATATATCGGCAAAATTATTGGGGGGGGGGCACCCCCCCCCCCGTGCCCCCCTGTTCCTACGGCCATGCACATTTTCAGCCGGCTAATGAAGGTAATGTACTTTCACTCACAGCTCTTGTTAACTGCATTTTTCTGAAAATCAAAGCAATCATCCTTTCAGAATTTTATTCTAAAAATCCACCTATTTAGCATATTTCTGTTTCAACACACACACACACTGAATCAACGTAAACGTTTTTGTTTACCAAGTCAATTAGCATGTATATGATAGGAGGGACTTAAAATACTCGTACGTGCATGTGTGTCACAAAATCACGGCGCAGTTAATGGATAGATAGAACAAAATATTTTTTCCTCCGTATTCCGACGAAATAGGAATTATTTTGAAAGAAATGTTTATTTAATACGAAAAGTTAATTATCAAAATTTGTTTGGACGAATAACTTTCTTTTTGTTCTTCGATCAGGCTATTTTGATATTTGTTTTAGCGATTTATAGTTCTTTGTTCTGGTTGAATTATCATTTTACACGCGAATATAACTTAGTTCATGCAATATTAGTTCAGATAAATTCATATTTTTGGCGGGGGGGGGGGGGGGGGATTAGAATCAATGTTTTAACCCCAGCAAACAATATGACCTATACATCTTGCTTTCGAAATATCACAAGACCAAACAAGCTATCGTCAATAGTTCAAAGAGCGATATCTATTCGTAAAGAAACATATTTGATTTACTAGTATTTAAACGAATGAGTAGTTTGTCAGAGCGATCGTATATGTATTCGAATTTTTTTTTTATTTTCCCGAACATACCTCTACATGTAATTTGTTCTAACAAGAACAAAACTAACAAGATTGAAAAGCATCCCCCCTTTTCAGGTTTTTTTTCTTGAATTGATTTTTAAAACTATGCATATTTTTCCCTATGTTTCGGATTGAGTAAAATTCGTAAAAAACGGAGAGCTCCTTATTTAAAAGCTTACCATTTCACTTGTAAGCATTATCCATGCGAACGCAGTTTTGAAATTTATCCAGATATTTGACTATATAAGACACAATCCAAAGCCAAGTAAATTCTTCTTAACCGTAACAAGATTGAAAAGCACCCCCCCCCTCCCCCCGCCGCTTTCATTTTTTTTTTTTCTTGAATTGATTTTTAAAACTATATGCATATTTTTCCCTATGTTTCGGATTGAGTGAAATTCGTAAAAAATGGAGAGCTCCTTATTTAAAAGCTTGCCATTTCACCTGTAAGCATTATCCAGGCGAACGCAGTTTTGAAATCCAGATATTTGACTATATAAGACACAATCCAAAGCCAAGTAAATTCTTCTTAACCGTAACAAGATTGAAAAGCACCCCCCCCCCCGCCGCTTTCAGTTTTTTTTTTTCTTGAATTGATTTTTAAAACTATGCACATTTTTTCCTATGTTTCGGATTGAGCGAAATTCGTGAAAAACGGAGAGCTCCTTATTTAAAAGCTTGCCATTTCACCTGTAAGCATTATCCAGGCGAACGCAGTTTTGAAATCCAGATATTTGACTATATAAGACACAATCCAAAGCCAAGTAAATTCTTCTTAACCGTAACAAGATTGAAAAGCATCCCCCCTTTCAGGTTTTTTTCTTGAATTGATTTATAAAAATATGCATATTTTTTCCTATGTTTCGGATTGAGTGTAATTCGTGAAAACGGAGAGCTCCTTATTTAAAAGCTTGCCATTTCACTTGTAAGCATTATCCAGGCGAATGCAGTTTTGAAATCCAGATATATGACACAATCCAGATATAAGACACAATCCAAAGCCAAGTAAATTCTTCTTAACCGTAACAAGATTGAAAAGCATTCCCCCTTTCAGGTTTTTTTCTTGAATTGATTTATAAAAATATGCATATTTTTTCCTATGTTTCGGATTGAGTGGAATTCGTGAAAACGGAGAGCTCCTTATTTAAAAGCTTGCCATTTCACTTGTAAGCATTATCCAGGCGAACGCAGTTTTGAAATCCAGATATTTGACTATATAAGACACAATCCAAAGCCAAGTAAATTCTTCTTAACCAAATGAAATTCTATCCGAACGAAGTCTAAGCAGTTCGCCCGATCGAAGAAATAATGAACTTGTCCCAACAAGTATTGAAATAATCCACCGGATATTTTATTCTGAACTTGCCCATTTATGTTGCCTTTAAAAAAAAGGAATGAGGGGAAAATATATCATAAATGACCAAATGTAAGAAACCACCTATCCGTTAATCATTTCGTTTATGCGAATTATTTTGCCAGGAAATGTATTTTGACATAAAGTAACATTTCTACTTTTAATGAGAAATGTTAACAACATTTCTGTAATATCCCAGCGGTGTAGGGTTTTCCTCATAGATCCTTATCAATCGTTATATTTTGTAGACCCCTACAGTCTGCCCTCCAGACCTAAGTTTGTGACCTTCCTGAGGGACCAGCAGGTAGAGGAAGGATTCTGTGTCAAGTTCCAATGTGTCGTCACCGGAAACCCAATCCCGAGGATCGAATGGTAACAGGCTTTAGTGTTAAATGATAAAACAAATGGCAACATGATATTTAACATATAAAACACGATTTCAATGTAAGTCACATTTTAAATTAACTATGTTTTCGGATCCTTGGGGCTCCCGAATAGACAACTTTAAAATTATAAAAATATACGGTCTTTAATCCATTGATATTACAGGTACAGAGACCTCGAACCCATTGGAAAAACCAGCTTTGTGCACACGGCCTATCGAGGAGATGGCACGGCATACCTTCAGCTGTTTTCTCCCGTAGCGGATCGAGACAGTGGAACATACCGTTGTGTGGCAAGGAATTCCGAAGGTTCCAGTTTTACCGAGGCGCATCTCACCATTAGAAGTATGAATTACTTAGCAATAATTGTAGTAGTATAAAAGACATCGATATATTTCCCTATATTTCCCAAAGTCATAATAAAAGAAATTTTGCAAACTTTTCCCTGTAAAGAATCTAAACTTGGATAAATCATATTTATCAATTTTTCTTTACAGAACAGATAACGAATGCAGACCTGAGGGACCAATTTTCAATCAGTAGAGCCAGGACAAGAAACGAGGAGCTTGCAAGCTTTACCGGACACCACCTCTCTAAGTTCGAGGCAGCTGAGCGGATGATGTTGAAGTCTGATCAGTATACTTTTGAGACGTCCCCTCACTTAAAGAAGTCCGAACTGTACCATTTAGATCCGCAGTTCAAAGGTCATAGAAAATCTCATCTTTACAATGCATTGGACATAAGAAGACAAAAGAAGTATGAATCACCAGGATATGATGAAAATAAAACGGACAGGATGAACATATATAATGTTGAAAACGACTACAAACCTAGAAAACGTTATGATGATGAAGAGCTGAAGGGAAAATCCAGCATATATGATATTGAAAATGAACACAAGAGCAAAACGACTGATCTTTTCACTACTGATAACAAATACGGGGCAAAAACCGATATCCTAGAAGAAATGGAGCTTCAAAGGAAGCTTGAGTCAAAGAAAATCTTTGACAGTCTGACAAAAAGAACACCCCATGACAAAGGGATTGAAAAATCCAGTGGTTTTGAAGCTTTTAGCTATAAACCGAAATCTACACGCAGCAGAACGAAACTGAGTGATGAGATTAACCCAGGCCTAAGTAAAAAGGCAATAGAGCTAACAAGGGGTCGGAATGTCGGTACTAGTGCAGATCTGAGAAGATCGAAATCGGTCTCTTTAAGTCGAGATGTGACCTCCCGACTCGTCCTTGACGACAAGAAGGGATATTACACACTGCGACCAAGACCAAAGTCGGTTGCTATGCTGCATGAATTTTCCGAATTCGAAAGTAGGCCTAAGTCAGCTAGTGTAACACGTGATTTTGTTTCAAAATCTGGTTACGAGTCTGACAGGGAGGAGAGTTTCCGGTCATCACGAACACGACCAAAGTCATTATCTTTCTCACGTGATCTTGATACATCAAGACGGACTAGGTCAGCTTCTCTAGCTCGGGATATAGGCGTCACATCAGATAAGAAATTGGACGAAGACAAGGTTTTAGGAAAAAGGGAAGCTCGAGCTAGGTCTTTATCCGTGTCGCGTGAAACTGAGGAGCTCATCCGTTCTGTACGAGAAAGTAGTGTTGGAAAATCAGAGTTTGCAGATATTGAGGCATATAGAGCAGAACTCCACAACAAACAAAGAACAGACAAAACTTCCAATCCAACATGCAAAAGAAAACAACACCGAAAAGATCTCAAGTACCATACACTTACGAGACATTTTGCAGACGAGAATAAGCCAATCAAAGAAATCAATCCTGGATTAAGTTTGAAAGCTAGAGAGATTGTTAATAAACAGGGATATCGATATAAAGTTGACAGGGATCTACTAAACGTTTCAATGTCCAGGAATAAACAATCGTCACGTTCAACTGAAGACACTGAGAATGAGGAGCCAGTTACCTACATTAAGCCTGTAAAAAATGAACCAAATACAGATGAGGAAGAGATGTTGTCAGACGAAGCATTCAAAAGAAAGATGTACCTTAAAAACCTGGATCAATTCATTAACAGGGCAAACAATTCATTCTATGATATTGAAGACAGCGAAGTACCCTCGTGGAGAAAAGAAAGATTACAAGACACTGGATTTGATTACACCAAACACAGGGCAAGGAAGAACAAAATCGAGCTTTTCGACTTCGACGATATCCGAACTTCCAAACTCCCGGCCCGGCGCCAACAACCCAAAAGAGCACAGTCTGTAGGTCCGGAGTTAGAGACTAAGAATAAGGTGCTTAACGCTATGTATGACAAAGAGAGACAAGCGCTACTGAAGTTGGGGACCAACTGGGTAAAGGATAAGCCGCTTTCATTCATAGAGAGACTTAAAAGCAAGTCTTCCTTGGAGGGTAATAGTGTCCTCTTATCGTGTTTCGTCACTGGTAAAGAACCTTTTATTGTGTTATGGTACCGGCGAGGGATTGCATTGTCAAGGGACGAAGAGGAAAATTTCCACATCAGGGTAAGAATAATAATAATATCTATAAAACATAATCATCGAAAACGTGTTAATACTTACAAAATAAACTATAAGTTAAATTTATGTTTAATTATCGGACAATTTACTTTTAAAATTTAATATGATATCAATCCTTCCTTCAATTTTAGAGCAATGGAGGTTTCTTAAGTCTTGAGATCCCGGTCACCTCTACCTACGACACTGGTGAATATATGGTAGAGGTCCGCAATGAGGAGGGGAAGATTAAATCCAACTGTTACCTCCAAGTAGAACGTACGTTTATAAACTTGAAGGATGTATCTCCGTACCTCAGCAAGTGTGTAAAAATTAATTAATCTATTTCCTTATCTATTTGTCTTTCAATTGTAGCCGTCTTTGATCCTCGTGTGGAATACAAACACCCCGAATTTATCGAGCCAATTCACCATGTTAGCGTAAAACTAGGACAAGCTGCTACATTCAGCTGTAAAGTAAAGGGCACCCCTGCTCCCTTTGTTAGATGGTAAGTCAAAAGTTCCGAGGAAGGTTTACACTTGATTATTGAGGGACAATTATGTGAAAGAAAAAAAATTAAGATTGCTGTATATTTACACGTTTTAGTTCCTCAAATTAAGGCAGGGCATGACTTTATTGCATAGTATTGAATGATTAGTACCATATCAATACGGTATGTTTTCTTTATCCTTCTTATATAAGTAAGATCTTATATGTATAAAAGATTAAGTTATATCATCCTTCTATACAACTGTAGGTTCAAGGATGGAATAGAACTTCAACAAACGGACAGAATTGACATTCATCAAGGGGAGAAGGGACAGGCTTTTCTTTTGATCCATGATGCTGAAGAATGTGATACGGGACTGTACAAGTGTGAGGCCCAAAGCATGGCGGGACGCTGCAGAAGCACAGCAAAGCTCCAGGTTTTGGGTATGCTAAAAATGGATTAAGTCTTTTGATTGACTTTACTTAATTCACATCTTAAAAAATAAAGCATTAGTATTTAATTATAGCTGAGAAGTCCAAGCTTGTTTTAAAAGGTTTAAGTAAAGCTAGATTATTTGGATTTTCAGAATCTATGGCAGATGCATTTGATGATGTATCCTGCAACATTGAAGTAGAGAGAATCATCAGCAGAACAAAGAATGCTAAAGGTATTGTAAATGAGGCACCAGTTCAGAAACCAAAGGCCTGGAGAGCTGGGCTAGTTTCAACAGAGTCCCCAGAACAACTGAAGGAGGCTGTGACCGCAGAAAAGACAGAGGCTGTAAAGGAGACACCTCTGAAGTCATCAGAAATTCTGACAGTCTTGGACGAGACTTTAAAAGCTGGTAATGTTACGCAATCCACAGAAATGGAAATTAGTCTAACCTCTCCTGCTGAATCTCTATCAAAATCCGAAACTTCTGAGCTTGAATTAACAATTCCTCTTTCTCCTGACCAATCTTCACCTTCATTAACACCAGCAAAGGTGAATGTCGACACCTCCTCTGTTCCTTTAACAGTTTTAGAAATCGAAAGATCACCATTAACTGATATCACTAGCGATTCCAACAAACTAGCACTTGTAGATACTCTTGTTTCTAAATCTGAACAGACACCATCTTTGGCAGATGCTGATCAACGAATTAAAAATGATTCACAACAGCTCATGGCAGCTGATGTGGAGAAAGGCAAGTATGATAAACCCTCCCACAGAGATTCAGGGACAATATATGAAGTGCAATCAGATTCAAAAGATGTGCAAATCATATCAACTGATACGTCTTTAGTTGAAGTTGAACATCGACTTGATTCCAGCCTTCCTTCAGACTGTGACTTTGAAACTTTGGAACAAGTTTCTGGTACTGACGCAATCAGCAAAGCGTCGAAAACAAGAGTTTCAAAAAGAGAGGTTGGTGTGCGTTCGGAATTACCTTTACAGGATGGTTCGCTTAAACCTGATGTTCACGAGGAAGGACTCGTGTCATTGAATGACACGCTTTTGGAAAGTTTTGTTAATGTTTCAAAACCTTTTCAGGGTGTTGATAGAACTGCCGATGTGGCAAAGCAAGAAGTAAGCTCAAACATGGAGCAAGTATCTTTCGCAAAGACGACTAACAAAAATAACTCAAACAGATCAACTGAGGGGTCATTTGAAGTACTTGGAGTCGAAAACACAGAAGATCATGTAGGTTGTGACATACATACGTACAAAGGCGAGAAGCAGGGACCGGCAAAAATAATTTGCAGCGATGTGGAATCTGTATCCCTTGTCGAGACAACTCATTTAAAACGATTCCAAACTTCATCCCCAATTTCTTCTCCTGTTTCAGAACCAAGTGAAGAAGACGTTAAAGCGCAGATGGAACTTAAATGTACAGCAGAAGAGAAACTTGAAAATATATCTGTAAAATCTGACGATGCACTCATTTATTCCTCATTGTCCCCTGAATCTGAAAACTTTGAATTTCTTACCAGTGAACCCTCTTCTTCCCTGGATACTCCCACTGATCTTTCTCATCCACAACCTAGTGACAGTAATTCTCTGTCTCCAGAGCAAAGAGCACAAAAAGACACGTCACTGCACATTGAGCACAGCACTATCAATATTGATGACCAAAGTTTGTGTACTAAGGTCGGTCAAGAAAATCTGAATGCCAGGCAAGAAACTGAGTTGAAAGCAAGTGCAAGAGATGACTCAGTATGTAGTGATATATCATCTGCTAAAGAGATTGATGATTATAATGTATCAGTTCCTGGTAAGTTAATCCGATAGAATTACTAAAACTCATGTATATATTTTTTTCTTTTAAAAATACAAACGACAAAAGTATTTGTCTTTTTAATATTTATTATTTATGCAGCACAACGAGTGTCGTCACCCATAGAAAAGAAAGTAAAAACCTCTGAAGTAGAGGGCATTGAAAAACCTGGATCGCCCAGTATAACACCAAGTGATAAAAAGCCTGAAAATGAAGTATTAAAAGTTGACGCTGTCGATGGACGAAAAGCTGTTTCCGAGGACACCTTATCTTCTGAGATCAAGGAAACGACAGAAAAGACAGAGAAGGTACAATCCCCCGGGGATATGAATGTAGAGAAGGTGGACGCAGAGAAGCTCCCGGTGGAGGAAGAGAGAGTGAATGTGGAAAAAGCATTTGGAGAGAAAGAAAAAGTCCCAATAGTGGTGGAGAAGTCTCAAGAGGAGAAAGAAGTCGTACAGGAAGAACAGAAGGAAACTGTAACTGCAGAGGCATCAGAGACCGTGACAGAACAAGTTGAGACACAGGAAGCCGCACCAAAACAAGAGGAAAGAGAGCCCCAACCACCAACCTTCGTCAAGAGTCTTCCAGAAAAATTGGATTTAAAAGATGGAGATGATTTGCTTCTTCAGTGCATTACTGACGGACTCCCAAAACCAGAAGGTATGATTGTAATTATGATTGGAGTGTTAATCAGGAGAAGTGTTAATCAATAAGTTTAAGGTGATATCATGGATATTCTTTTTTTCAAGTTATTTGGATGCACGAAAATAAGCCAATCGAAGCCAGTGAAAATATTTTCATAAAAGATTCTCACGACGTTCACGCATTAGAGATCAAGAAGGTTAATCACAATGTAAACTCAGGTGTGTATACGGCTAAACTTGTCGGAGGATCAAGCTCAGCGGAACAGGAGGACGTGGTGTCAAGATGTAAAGTGTTTATCTTGACAACTGCACCCATGGAGGAAAGCACAGGACTCGTCGAGGAGGACATCAAGGAGAGAGATCTTTTACCTTTGGTGGAAAAACAAATATCTACTGAGCAAGAAGAACTGAAACTACAAATACCGCCCAGGTAAGAAAATAAAGTTTGTGTTGTATGGTAACACTATGGTGGATTTATGAATAGAAGAGTCTTAAAATTGTAAATGTAATACACGTTATGTTCAGGCATTATATGGATTTGATATGGAGGAGACAATTTTTACAAGCTAATCACGCGTAAATAAAACTTATTTGACATCAAGTTATCACAGAAAAAATTGCAAGCCTTGAGGATTTTGTTGTTGCTTGGATTTTTCTAGTTCCTAAATAAAGGTTTTGTTGACAGATTTTACATCCATCTCATTGCACTATTCTTAATACTTTCTCAAAGGCTTTAAAGACATATAATACAAACAAAAAAATGGATGCATGGATAGGATTATATTTTTGGAAATATTTTGGTAGTAAATGATGCATATATAAAATTTCTAAAAATTCTAAATTATAAACTTTCTATGATGTTCAAATTCTTCTATCTGTCATTTTCCTTCATTCTATACAATTTTTTATCACATTATCGAAATACTTCGAAAGAAAAATGAAACTGTAAGTGCCTTAACTTATTCATTTTACTTATATAAATATAGATTTAGTTGTTATTTTCATGATTTTTGAAAAAAAAAGTTGTATTATCTGTCCTAAAAGTTGGTTTTCTCTTTAGTGTTGATCTCCAAGAAGTTTGTGAAGAAGGTCAGTTGGACGCTAACAAAATGCACATTCCAATGGTTTCCCCAACAGGGGTACATTGTAAGTATTCATTGTATTTTCTAATATTTATTGCACAAAAAATAATATAGAGAGCATTTATTTTTTCTTCAATATCAAAACCGAAGGCACCAATTCGACATCTTAATATAATTTTATATATTGTAACAAATCTATTTGAATCAACTGTTCTAAGGATATGTACCAACATATATGTGTTGAACTTTAAACAGGCCATTCCAGTCCTCTAGACAAGGCCGAGAAAGGTATCAAGTTGATCACTCCACCATTTCCCCAACATCCCCTCTGAAGTGTATTTACCTTGTAGTTAGTTTTTGGTTTTCTTTTCCAGTGCTGGTTCTTGTATATATTTGTTGTTAAAGCACTCTTTGTTTACCTGTAAATACATCAAATAAATTGTGTATTTTAAGAATCTAAGATCCTTTCTTGATTGTCTGTCAGTGGAAAATTATTATTTCTCATCCTGTCCATGAAAAGATCCGTTTTCCTGATATTGTTGTTATTAATTTAAGTTTTCAATGGGTTTATTTTGTGGACATTTGGTTTTAAATGAAGTATACATTGTTTTCGATAAATACATATATTTCTGATGTATTTCCTTGATAATCTATCTCTTTTCATATTTTTTTCTATTTCGCTTTATGTCACTTTTAAGGCCCCTTCAGAGAGTATTATTTCAAGGCCTTTGAATTTAAAAACAAAATATGAATTAATTTACAAATGCACTCTTTGTTTTGCTAGAGGAGGAATTGCCTCCTTCCCAAACTAGCCCTCACTTTAGCCAAGCATTAGATGAAGAACTGTATCCCTTAGAGAGAGATGAAAACGTCAGAATCCAATGTGTGGTAGCAGGAGAACCGTGTCCAAAAATAGTGTGGTCAGTATAATGTCTTATTTATTTCTATTTTAAAGATCAAACTTACTATTAGTCTTATCGACTAATCATGCGTTTCTGGAAGTATACCAGTTCAAGAATTATATTTTGCCAATTAACATAACATATTATTTTTTTTTTATGTTTCTGAAATTTAAAAAAGGATATTAAGTCATTTCATTGACAACTTTCAATTTTCTTTGAAATTGGATTAACTATCGACCTCAAAGAAATTTTATATAAATATTTCGTATATCATGTATTTATCAACTAGAAATATGTCCATAGGACATGAATGCCCCGCCGAGGGTATATTAGTAATGGAACATGAAAATTTGTATTAGTGTATGAAATTTGATGAGAATATCTTGAATAGTTTCCTTAAATTTGATATAGATGATAAATTCTCACCAAATTATGTATAAGTGCATAAGCTTACATAAATATGTCTTAAATGGTTTCTTCAAAATTAAGCAAAATGCAAATTTAAGAAAAGTGAGGTCAAGGTCCCAAAAAAGTTCAAGGTCAAACGTTTTTGATGCAGTTGAATAGTTTTCATAAATATGTATCAGCATATTAAGTTTCATAAAAATATTTTGAATGGTTTATTTAAAACTGAGCTAAACACTAATTTAAAATAAATGAAGTTAAGGTCAAAGGAAAGGTCAAGATCAAAAAATGTTGATGCAGTTGAAAAGGTTACATCAGTATGTATTAGCATATGAAGTTTGATAAAAATATTATGAGTAGTTTCTTTAAAACTGAGTTAAACACAAATTGAGAAAAGTAAGGTCAAGGTCAAAGGAAAGTTCAAGGTCAAAAATATTGATGCAGTTGAATAGCTTACACCAGTATAAATCAGCATATGAAGTTTGACACTAATTTAAGAAAAGTTAGGTCAAGGTCAAACGAAAGGTCAAGGTCAAAAATTGTTGATGCAGTTGAAAAGGTTACATCAGTATGTATTAGCATATGAAGTTTGATAAAAATATTATGAATGGTTTCTTGAAAACTGGGCTAAACACTAATGTAAGGAAAGTGGGGTCAAGGTCAAAGGAATTGTCAAGGTAAAAAAAAAAATATTGATGCAATTGAATAGCTCTCATCAGTATTTATCAGCGTATGAAGTTTGATAACACGATCTTGAATGGTATCTTTAAAACTGCGCTAGAAACTTATTTAAGAAAAGTGAGGTCAAGGTCAAAGGAAAGGTCAAGGTAAAAAATATTGATGCAGTCGAATAGCGCTCATCAGTATGTATCAGCATATGAAGTTTGTTAAAAATAACTTGAATGGTTTCATTAAAACTGAGCTAAACACTAATTTAAGAAAAGTTAGGTCAAGGTCAAAGGAAAGGTCAAGGTCAAAAAATGTTGATGCAGTTGCATAACTCTTATCAATATCTATCAGCATTTGAAGTTTGATAAAAATATCTTGGATAGTTTCTTTGAAACTGAGCTTTGAACTGAGCTAAACGCAAAGTATGACGGAAGGACAGACGGACATGACAAACACTATATGCCCCGGCCATATTCATGGCAGGGCATAATAAATAAATAATCTTACCGAATATTTTACTTTTTGTGTCGTGGATCAGAGTTTTGCATGGAATTATATAGGAAAGAAATACTTAAAAATCTTATCAAGAACAGCATGACCATGATTAAGTTATGCATGCAGGCATACTCAGAAAAAAAATTCAAGTTTGTTCGTCAACGAAGGATACTAAGCTACGAGTATGTCTGCCCTTGAGGATATCTTTACTGGAATACATTTTAAAAAATGAATCCTTGTTTTACAGAAACTGGTCCATGTCATCTTTATTTGTCAAATATAGTGTATAAGCTCGAAAGAGTGTTAAAGATTTAAAAACCATAACAGACTGGACATTCCTTTACAATGTCTTTTTTCCGGATGTACAAAATGTAAAAGTGATTTTATCATGGTAATGTGAAAAGACACACCATGTTGAAGAATAAAAAAGTTTAATATAACGACTATTCATATGTTTTACAACTGCAAGTGCATATATAGGACTTTTCCAGACAACCACCCACGTATTGCTATTATTGGCTTTTTTTTTTCCACTTTCAAGTTCCATTTTTGTCAGGTTCAAAGATGGTGTCAAGCTTGAGCAATCCAGTCGAGTCCGTCTGGAATGGGATCCAGATACCAGGATCGCTAGTGTGCTCCTAAAGAGACTACATATACTGGACACTGGGGAGTACGAATGTATCGTGTATGGAGAGAATGGGAGCTATAGCACCAAAACAACTCTCCACGTTAAAGGTACACGTAGTTGAAGGCATAAGAGCAAATATTTTCCGATATTGTGGAAAGCAGACATGGATAAAGCACTTTTTGTGTATTTGCTCTTTTTTCATTTTCCAACAAAAAGGTTTCCAGTTTAATTATACAACGGTATTTATACCACTTCATAATTTCATGAATATACAGTCTTCAGACATCATTACGAGACATTTTATTCCATCAACTTTCGATAAGTTAAGATACTTAATACTTTATGAACCGTACGAGAATTATTTTTTTTACAGCAACGCCGTATTAGGTATTGCAATGAAAAAGATTCATGAATTCGATTTGGACGTTTCTCATGCTTTAGTTCAGTAATTTATAGAGACGGATTGGATTTAACCTACACATACTTTATTCCGCGTGGCATCAATTTACGCTATGTGTGCGGACAAGGATTTTTCGCAGAAATTTGTCACAGCATACTTAAATTGAATTTAAGACACACAATTGCAGTCTAAGAAATTCATTTCTACCCTCCGAATGAACAAAAAAATTGTTTCTGAGGAAATATAACCCCCTGAAAAAAGTACTTTTACAGCATTTCAGGTCAATTCCAATCCATCTCCAAATGATTGAGCTAAAAGTCCTAATCGAATTCATGAGTCGTTTTTTAGCTCACCTGAGCTGAAAGCTCAAGTGAGCTTTTCTGATCATCTGTTGTCCGTCGTCCGTCCGTCTGTCTGTCCGTCTGTTCGCCCGTCTGTCTGTAAACTTTTCACATTTTCAACTTCTTCTCAAAAACCATTGGGCCAATTTTAACCAAACTTAAGGGGACCGACTGGGGTTTTCATTGCGCAATACCTCGCGCAGCATAGTAAAACAAGGCGTATTTACTCTTTTAGAGCAACTATTTTTACATAATTTATAAAAATTAACAAATTTAGGAAATCTAAGGTTAAAAAATCTAATTACGTTTTTAAATAACTGATTTTTTGAACTATTTTTCAAATAATGGGTATACAGACGTCGTAATAGTGTGTTTTTGACGTTATGAATGACCGAAGTTCTTTAAGCGGGGTCATTAATTATGCCATGAAAATAAAAAGTATAAAATACATGCTCTTGAAATTTTAAACATAGGAAATTGAGAATCTAGCAATCATTTTTATTATTTTTTGTGTAAATCTGTGGTATCAATCATGTTTTGTTGTACTCCATAAAAACAGGAAAATATCATGAATTTTGACATTTTGAGATGCTCCCTCTGGAAACCAGACGGTAGAATTTTGTGTTTCATGCACAAAATTTATAATATAGTATTACCCATCAAATAGTATAATTTGAGCAAAAAGTCTATAGTAGCATTTGTATAATTTGCTTCGAAGTGCGAAAAAATGGTATTTTCCTATATAATCCTATAGTAAATGTACCTGTATTTTGAGATGGTCCCTAAAAAATAACCAGACGGTAGATTTTCACTAAACTTAGCATGTATACCGAAGTCAATGTAAGGTACATATGGTATAAAATTAAAGAGTTTCTCTATAGTAGTTTTCACACAATAAAACCCCAGTCGGCTCCCTTAAGTACAAAGTATCCTTGGGTGAAGGTAAATTGTTAAAATAAAGGACCAAGTCAACTTACAAGGGGAGATAATCATGAAAAGACAAAAGTAGGGTGGGGTCATTAAAAAATCTTCTTCTCAAGAACCAATGGGCCAAAATAGCTGAAATTTATGTGGAAGCATACTGGAATAGTGTAGATTCTAAATTGTTCAAATCATGACCCCCGTGGGTAGGGCGGGGCCACAACAGGGAATCCAAGTTTTACATTGAAATATATAGGAAAAATCTTTAAAATTCTTCTTCTTAAGAACCACTGGGCCAGAAAAACTGAAACTTATGTGGAAGCATCCTGGGGTATTACAGATTCTAAATTGTTCAAATCATGACCCCCGGGGGTAGGGCGGGGCCACAATAGGGAATCCAAGTTTTAGATTGAAATATATAGGAAAAATCTTTAAAAATCTTCTTCTCAAGAACCACTGAGCCAGAAAAGCTGAAACTTATGTGAAAGAATCCTGGGGTGGTGTAGATTCTAAATTGTTCAAATCATGCCCTCGGGGATAGGGCGGGGCCACAATAGGGAATCCAAGTTTTACATTGAAATATATAGGAAAAATCTTTAAAAATCTTCTTCTCAAGAACCACTGGGCCAGAAAAGCTGAAACTTATGTGGAAGCATCCTGGGTTAGTAAAGATTCTAAATTGTTCAAATCATGACCCCCGGGGGTAGGGTGGGACCATAATAGGGAATCCAAGTTTTTCATTGAAATATGTAAGAAAAATCTTTAAAAATCTTCTTCTCAAGAACAACTGGGCCAGAAAAACTGAAACTTATGTGGAAGCATCCTGGGGTAGTAAAGATCCTAAATTGTTCAAATCATGACCCCCGGGGGTAGGGTGGGACCATAATAGGGAATCCAAGTTTTTTATTGAATTATGTAAGAAAAATCTTTAAAAATCTTCTTCTCAAGAACAACTGGGCCAGAAAAACTGAAACTTATGTGGAAGCATCCTGGGGTAGTAAAGATTCTAAATTGTTCAAATCATGACCCCTGGGTGTAGGGCGGGGCCACAATAGGGAATCCAATATAGGAAAAATCTTTATCAATCTTCTTCTCAAGAACCAGAGGACCAGAAAAGCTGAAACTTATGTGGAAGCATCCTAAGGTAGTGTAGATTCTAAATTGTTCAAATCATGACCCCCAGGATAGGGCGGGACCACAATAGGTATTACAAGGGGGCAATTTGGTAAAGAAGAGCAGGGCCAAAGTTACTCAGGTGAGCGATGTGGCCCATGGGCCTCTTGTTTATGATTGCCTCTGCTGTTCATCTACTGTTCATCATAGCGAAAAGTTACAGCAAGTTTCATCATACCTTGTTATGCCGGTATTTTTATCTCTGATAGCCCTTGAGATGCAGAAGGTTGAGACTATAGATCGGGATGATCCTCCAGAAAGTGTCCCACCCAAGTTTTTCCTGTCTCTGAAGGATAAGAGAATATTTCAAGGAAAAGGCACAACATTGGACTGTGTTGTAAAGGGCAATCCCGAACCAGAAGTGAAATGGCTAAGACATGGAAAGGAGATTGTATCTAGACACGGAAAATACACGATCACAGTAAGTTTTGTTTTATGTTTTTGTTTTATTATTTATTTATTCATTCATATATTTTGTTTTGTTCGTTTGTTTTATTTAATGGTATTTTGGTTGTGTTGAATAAAGCATAGTTTCTTTATTCATAAAAATGATAAGGTGTACTGTCGTTACCAAATTTTACTAAATTTTCAGTTGATAATGTCGCTTAATCCAGTAAATGGGGGGAAGTGGTAAATATACCTTTATTTTTCAATACTTTAGTACTTCTTTGTTTTTACTGACTTCTTTAATTATCGATGCGGTGCTTTTATTCCTTTTACATCCACTGAATATTTTCTATTTTATTTCTTATGAAAACCAATTGCCGTTATCAATGCTAGTTGATGCTATTTAAAAGATCTCTTCAGAAGTGTGTTCTAGATCTTCCATCAGTGTAATGTACGGGCCAATAATACAATATTTTGCATATCCCCACCTATTTAATATAAATTGTATACAAATGCAATACATGTATATCAATAAATTGTCTCTCTTTATTTGATAATGTGGGGACTACCAGTTGCCACTTATGCATTCTATGCATTTGTGGGTTATGCATTTTATCTGCAATGTCGCAGCAGTAACAAGCAAAGAAAGTATTTTATTGTTTAAAGAAAAAAAAAACATTTACTATACTCTCTTACTCTTTTCAGAACTTGAACCAGCAGCATAGTCTGACTATTGAGGATTTCAAGAAGTCAGACGAGGGTTGCTATACTGTAGAGGCCACAAGCGAGTCAGGCTGCTGTTCGTCCAGCGCCTATCTTACTATGGAAGGTATGTCAAAATATTTGTCATCAGAAGGATTATAAAGAAAATAACGATTAATAATTACCAAAACAAATGATAGATTATGTTCTTTGACTTTTACAATTTCAATGTACAATATATTTTTGCTTCTTGTCGTATTGAATCGTTTATTAAACGGTTTGTGTTTCAGCTGTCGTGGAAGAGGTTGACTCTGCTAAACTGGAAAATTCAGCTCCAGAATTCACGAGCAAAATGGAGGGGATTATTTCACCTGTAGGTGGAGTCGTGACCTTTAAGTGTTCTGCCTCCGGGTATCCTGTACCTAAATTCAAATGGCAAGTTCAAATAATCTCTTTCTTTTAATATATATCAGACATATTTACAAACGCACACGCGTGCGAATTCATTTTTACTAAAAAATAATCATTTTTATTTTCAAAAATTAGGCAGAAAGATATGTTAGATCTTTACCAGTCCAAGAGAATAACAATCGACAACGTTCCAGGAGAGACAACTTTAACGATTCATGACGTCAATCGGCGTGATAGTGGAATGTACGTTTGCATCGCAAAAAACAACCTAGGAAGAAGCAAACAAACAGCAAAACTTATTGTCAGCGGTCCGTCATGTTTTTCTTTGGGGACATAAATCTCTTGTATTTTATCTATTTTACAGTTAAATAAAACTTTTAAAAAGAAATCTAAGCAATATAAACATTTGCCAGTAAAATTTATCTATTTTGTATTTTTAGAGGATTGTAAAGAAACCAGGCGCCTAAGTATCTCTGGAGAGATAGACAGACCAGAGGAACCAGTTGTATCTCAAAGTGACTCTACTGACTCTGTTAAAGACACTGCTGAAATGTCTTTAGAACCATTAGCGGAAGGCAGAGAGGAGCCAAGTGAGGTGAAAGAAGTTATTGGGACAGAGGAAGAAGTTCATGAAGCAATTGTAAAGCCAGATGATAAACAAGCTGAAGTAGAGGACACTTCAGTGAAAGAGAAACCCACAGAGATGGAGGAGGCAGTGGTTGATGTTTCACCTGCTCAGGAGAAAGCAACTGAAAAGGAAGCGGTTGTTCCTGAAAAATTGGTGGTTGCAGAGAAGACTGAGGTTGAGGAAAAGCCAGCAGTTGCTGAAGAGAAAACATCAACTCAGGTACCAGAGGAAAAGATGTTAGCTGCACCAAAGACAATGGAATCCGCCGAAGAAGTCTCCTTGACAGAAAATGTTGCTTATGCATCCGAAGAAAATGCTGCTATGATGAAAAAAGAAGAAGTTGCTGTTAAGACAGACAAAGGGAAAAAATCTGAAGAAACTTCTACTCAACAAAATGAAAATCAAGCTGGAACGGTATTAAAAGCTGAAGAGAGAGTTGATACTGCTATGACTGAATCTGCTGTTTCTGCTAACTTAGAAGATGCTAAAGTCGTTGAGAAAAAAGAAGTTACTGACGTGACTGAAACATCTGAAAGTAAGGTCGTACAACAAGCAGTGGAAACCGCCAAAGGTTCTGAAACAACTTCAAAGACTGCAGATGATAGCGAACTAGATATCGATCACTTAGTGCAGCAAGCAGAAACAATTTTAGGGGAATCTAATTCAACAAAAACCGAAAACCAGGACTTATCTTTCGAAGAAGTTTTGGCGAAGTCTGTCATGGAGGAATCAGTTGCTGAGGCAGCCAGTGAAATGGAAAAAATCAACAAAAGTAAAAAACGTAAGCTATCAAAATCGAAGCGCCGCTCCCAAAGCTTAGACTCAGAGGAAGCGTCCAGTGTCAAGGATGCAGCAGAGGGCGCAGAGTCAGAAAGTAAAGAGGTCGAGATATCGACAAAAACAGCCACTGAGACAACAGAATCAGCTGGTCAGAAGGAAGGAACATCATCGCAGAGTTCAGCCAAGAGTAAGAGTGTCTCTTTTGAAGAAGTAGTGGAGATTTCTGGTTCTGCTGACACAGTTGACTCTGGTGCGATATCAATGCAAGCCTCAACGTCAAAGGTGACAATGTCCAAAACAAAATCATCTCGAATTGAAAGTCACACGAAATCTGTTGAAGGAAATGTTGAAGTCAAATCAGTAAAGGAGATAGAAACAAGTGGGAAAGAGAAAGCCTCCGAGTCGGTTACAGCTTCTGTAGCTAACGAATCTGCTTCCACAACAATAAGAGAAACCAGACAATGTAAGGCTATATCCTTGAGTTATTCTGTACTTCTCATTCTAAAGAAAAAAACGAAAGTAAATTAGACATACCATAGAGGTCGCAAGCTACTGTATTTTTGTTTTTCATTGCTTTTTTGAAAATGTATAAATATCGACTGATTTCTTTTTTTCAGTGGACAGGTTGATGTCCATGGAGGACGTAAAAGAAATACTTGACGTGGATTCTCTAAAAATGAATGAAACCAGGTTTGTATGTTCTACCCAATTTAAAAATGTTCCTACAATTTGAACTTTTGGTGAAAGTATATGTATCTGTATATGGATGAAGGGTTCCTTCTAAGGATGTCAAATCGGTCAATATTTGACAATCGGTTACTCGGACGATTTTCCGATCGAATACCCAGGTACTCGAAAAAAGTGTGTATACATATAAAAGTTTGTTAATTTTATTGGGACATGTTTACTACATCGATGTTTTTAATGCATGTACATAAACATCGAGGAAACGGTTTTTAGGGTATTTAATTTATGTATCAAGCAAACACAAAGACATTATCAATACACCTATAATTACAAATGCTTAACAGTTCTTCTTTAGGAAGACAATTTGATCAACGGAAGAGAAGGACGCAACTTTGTAGTGATTTGACTTTAGCGAAAGAGAATATCATTGTCATGAACGCGAGTCGTATATTATTAACATTTCCAAATGTTTTTTCCTTGAAAATTCTGAAAGTTAAGTATGTTGATTTCTCGATATTTACTTCATCGTTACGCATAAATTATCCAACGTTTCCAGCTCCCGTTGATGCCCTGGCTGTCCTCCAGACTTATTTTTGTTTACTTAACTTGTATGTATTCCCGCTATTTCACGTGTATCTTTTGTATTGTCTTTGTATATATAGTACATAGAACCTCATATACGACTAAGTTGAGAGTGGTTGGAGAGAAATAAATTGAACTTGGACCTGGCATACCCAACAAACTAGACAGTGATTCCTTATATATATGATTTTACCTCGTACCCTCGTATACGCTAAATTTACTATACAAAGCTGACTTCTAACATTTTTTTAATCTCCGGTTATTTTTAAATATTTCTTCACTTTGAATTGGTAGCTGCATTTCTGTGTATGTCCGATTTCGCTACCGTATGCTAATTAAATAAAAGATAATTAATACATCATAATTAAAAGATGTTCATTGAAAACAAATAATTAAAGCCATCCAAAATTAGGGTCACAAGAGGTGAGAACGGCTGTGTATGGTATCCAGTGATCGGTCAAATGGACAATGCATATTAAAATGACATGTTTGATAAGTTTTTAATAAAAATATGCACTTTGAAATATGAAAAAAAAAATGCATCCGAGTAACCGAGTACCGATTTTAGTATTCGATACTCGGACGTTCGATCGAGTACTCGTTGACATTCCTAGTTCCTTTATATAGACATAAAATACCGCATAGCGGGTTTCTTTAGCGGGTGTAAAATTTGGCGTTTTGATTCCTTAAATAATTTTAGCGGATCTTTTTTGGCGGACACGGATCGAGTTCCATGACGTTGCAAAAGAGAGTAAATTCGCATTTTAGATGAATTTCAGTTCGTTTAATATACGTTTGAATACAGTTTTTTACACAAGAGTTGAAGTAAAAACCAATACCAGATGAAAGATATAACGTTTAACAACAGGCTGATCAAAGTTATATTTCTTGTATTTACTACTAATAAGCAAGGGTGCAAAGGAACGCTTCTTTATAAATGGTTATCTGACGTAAAGGAACGAAATTGGTTTTATTCTTTACAATAAGCTTGTCGATTTGCATTACATCAATGACTTTAGGCTACATACATATGCTAATTTGTGTCTCATAAATCATTTCAGTATGTATAGATAGGAAGAACCTTTTCATAGATAATGAATATGAAGCATGATATTGTCAACACATTTTGAGTTTGTTATCTAGAAATATTTGATATTTTTTGTTTATTTTTCATTGTGCATAATGGTAATGTCTATAAACTATATTCTATTCTTGATACTAGTATTTGTTTAATTTACAACACAATTCCAAGGATATAATAAAACTTGCCATTGATGGATGCAAATTGTATAAACGAAATCCAAGGAAGAGCAGATACTGATATGTAGCCCTTCTGTTTCAAAACTTGAGATCTGAGTTTAGAACATTGGCTCAGTACAAAAGTACATGATTGTATGTAATTCTAAATATATTTTGCTCAGAGAATACAAACAATATGTAATTAACATACTTTCCAGCGCAATAGCACCCCGCTAAAAAAATTCCCGCCATACGGTAGTTTAATATGTGTGAAAACAAGTATTATTTCTCTATCAATAAGTCCTAAAATCATTATATAACGGTATATAATACAATTTGATGAGGATGTCAATAGTTATTTGCTGATCTGAATTCATAGGGAGGCTATAGTGGAACAGAAGACAGCTAGTGGACGGACCCAGGTCCTGGAAGTAAGTGCCAGGCGCGTGTCTAAACAGCTGTCTTTGGAAGAGCAAGCTGCCAGCACCACCCACCAACACCACCTTCACCACCCTCCAGAAATCATAGTCCCTCCCGAAAATCAGTACGTCAGTCTCCACAGTGAGATAGAACTGACTGTTAAGGTCCGTGCGGCTCATGGCGCCAAAATAAGTTGGTTCCATGACGGACAAGAAGTTGCAGTAACTGGTAGGTCTTTTCATTTAGTCTGGTGAACTTAAACAATCTCAAACTTTTTTATTCAACATGTGTAGTCGGTATTCTCTTTAATTTGTAATGAGAATCAATTTATTTGGGTTTTTGTGGGGTTAGATTTCAAACTGCAACAATATTTTAATTTATTCTCTCTTTTACAACTCTATCTAAATCTTCTTGATTTTTTTTTTCAGTTATGATTTGTAGATTATATGTGTGATCATTTAATATGATAATGATGTTAAAATTACACGCAGTCTCTCTCTTCTTGTGTGAAATGTGCACTTGCACTGAAATACAATTTACTGTGATTGCTTGCTTATTTCACACGCTATCCTTTAATTCAAAGAAAAACTTTTAGAGGACATATTTGGTAAATATACATTTTTCACTTGCTGGATTGTTGCTTTGCTTGTATGAAATTATTCATCATGCCAATTTGAGGCGTTCGTTTTTGCGGTTTGGAATTTTTGTGGTTTCTGCTTAGAAAGCATTTACGATCATGGTTTTCATGATGGCATTTGTACCAACACAATATAATTATTAATTTTGAGTTGAGGAATCCTTGAATCATAGTATCAATTCAAGCTCAATGATATTTACCCATGATTTTAAAATCACAAATATACATAGTCATCATAATGTCATTTTATTATCTTTGAGTAAAATATTTTTTTTTTATAAATTTGAAATTATTAATTCCTTATTTATAATTGTTATAAAGTCCTATAAACTTGGGTTAATTTGTAAAAAATAAAAAATTGCATACTGATGATACATGAACTTTTTTTTTTGCTCTGATCATACTTTAAGATTAAAATCTTGGTAGGTACGGTGATATTTGAAAAGCACGATACAAAGATGAGTCTAGAGATTTATTCTTTCAAATTCGTTTAAAATTGAAATCGCTTGGGGATGTAGGGAGCAACAATTTCCGCTGAATTGACAGTTACCATGGTTTATTGTTTGTTAGCTGTCTGTACTTGTAAAATTCGAAAGTAATTTTAATTTTTGTTATCATGTGAATAATCACTATTTTTGAGAACAGGTGCATGTGCATTACATTTAAGTAAGAAATTTAAAAAAACTGTTTGAAATTATTTACGGAGTTTTTTCTTTGAAATATATTTGAATTTTTCAGGTTGTACAGCTTAGGTTGGCAAGGATTTTTTTTCGAATCCACATAAGAATATTTGTTGAAAAATGCATTAAGCTTTCTAATATCCATGGACATGCCAAATGTCTTTTTGTCTAAAAATTTCATAGATGCTTAAGGCATGTGCATTGGTTAAAAATATCTTAACAGCCAGGTGCTGAAGTGGTAAAATAAATGCATTAAATCAAATCTGCATTGCGTATAGCTTTTTTCGTGTCACGCTTTCAGTGGTTTGTGATGGGGCAGAGTAAGAGATTTTTTTTTGGATATAGCTTACCTTCAAATATTGGGAAATAAGAAAATAATATTCTTGGTTTTCAAAATTTTGATAAATTATTTTAGGGGATTTGTGTAGTTGATTTAAAAAAAAATCATTTTATGTTACATTCTTGATCCCCACCCCTTTTGATACAATATTTGGATCCGACCTTACTTGTTCATGCCACCCTTCACTGTCTTTGCACAAACTCTTCAGTGATGTTGTTTCTGTTGTTTATCCATGTGGCAATGACTACAATCTACCTTACTACTGTATAATCAGTAAGTACTACTAACACGTGGTTTGTTTATTGCAGGAGAACATTATGAGATGACGGATATCGAGATACCAGACACTGAATAATGAGCGACCTCTCATCCTTGCATTATAAAGTAAAACTAAAGATAACCACAACCAGTGCACGAGACGAAAGCATCTGTCTGTATAATGCTGTTCAGAGAATGAAGAAGTCAATAATTGTTGTATTGTGGTGGTCATGCTGGAATAGTGCTTCTAACATAAAATCTTTCCGGCATTTTAGTCAAAGGACATGCACTAAGTAAGTGTGCGAGTACATGGCTTTGCATGCACACGTCTCTTGATAGGTTTTATCCATGGCATAATATCCAAATTGGGTGCTTTTTGTGTCTGTAAATTTTTCGTGCTTCTTTTCAGTTTAAGGTTCTATCAAGAGTATCAAGCTAAATCTTTTAGCCGATTTACACAAGAAAAAGTTTCAAAAAAAAAAAAAAAAAATAAATAAATAAAAAATAGAAAATCATCTTGCTACCTTTGTCATTCCATATAATTCACCGCAGCATCCATTTAATTACCACTCCTTTTTTATGTTAATTACTCCAGATAGTTTGTGCTGTCTTGAGGGATTTTTATAAAAAATTACTTTGTGGTACTTAGAATTGAAAAAAAGTGAAAATAACACACAAGTAAACTATAATGTGTAACTGAAAGCAATGTTACTTAAATGGCAAAATACTCAAGTCTGGCTTTGTGATCTTACATTGAATGTGATAGATGTTTGGAATATTACACATTACATGGATATTTGTAACCCCAGACCCTTGCCCTGTTCTACAGTTGACGAGGTTTGTTTTATTCTGTTGATTCCCGTTTAATTCCCGTTTAATTCCATGTATATGTGATACTTTTTTCAAGACTGTGATTTAAACACTTTAGTTGGCTGTTGGGATTGAATATCGAATAAAAAATCGAAAAAACACACTGACTTCACTTTACTTCATAGCATGGTCACGGTAATACAATTATTTTATGACAAGAGTCCATTGACCAGCTTCATTAGCCCCATCCTAGGGCCTGATCCTGGTCCTGCATGAATTTTACTATATTTGGAGATGGCTAACTGTTCCATATGATTATGCAAACAATTTGCCAGCTACATGTCTATGAGTAATAAGATTTTTTTTTTTTTATAAAAGATGTATGATGTAATGTACTTGCAATATATATTTAACCAACTTAGCCCCACCGGAGTCCTGAACCACGGGTCGGGGGGCTATTAATTTGATAATTTGGTAGAGGGGTAAGTCTCCTAGATTTTCAATGGAAAGAAGAAGATTTCAAAGGTGTAATGTATTTTCAAATAAAGACCAACTTGGACCAAACCTGGGGTTTAAATGCTGGACACAGGGGACGTGAATTTTGCAATTTTGGTAAAGTAGTTAGAACACATTTTAATCATATAATCAGTTACCACATTATAAATCCTTTAACAAAAATGTATTTTCAATATCTGTCGAACTTCGCCCAACCCTGGGGCCTGGACACAGAAGCCATGAATGGTAACACAGAAAAACGAGAGGCTTTAGCGTCACCTGAGTATAATAAAAACCCTGTAAATGTTCCACAGAATAGAAAATTTTAATTATCATATTTTCAGCAGTGAAATACTGTAATTTATTACATTTTCAATAGTGAAATACTGTGATTTATTTATTGAATAAAAGTGATATTCTCTCACAGTGTGAAAGGATACCAAAATGATATTCTCTCACAGTCTAAAAGGATATCAAAGTAAGTAAAAAATAATTTCTGGTCTGTCATAAGATAGAGATAGTAACTAACCATTTTGATAGAGGTAAAACTGCAAATTTCTCCCCAAATATGTTGCTAAAATCCATGCTATGTAATGTTTTCAATCTCCCAACTGCTAAGCTATGACGTCTCAGCTGCTCAACTATGACGTCAAGCCTATGACACTGTGTTAAGAAAAGACAGAGGCAAAGGGAAAACCAAAGAAAATGTAATAAACAGAAAATTCAATGTTTTGTAGATGAATATGGAATTTATTTCACTTGTGAGACAGGATTTTTTGATATTTTCACTCGTGCTTCGCACTCGTGAAAATATCAAAAAATTCTGTCCCACTCGTGAAATAAATTCCTTATTCATCTACAAAACATTGAATATCCTCTATTTATTTACTGAATAAAAGTGATATTCTGACACAGTGTGAAAGGGTATCAAAATGGTATTCTCACAGTGTGAAAATATCAGAAGTGCGGCAAAACTTACGATTTTCCTTCCCTTCACGAAGAGTGTTTTTAACAAAATCCCGGGCCTGTTATAAGGTATATGTGTTAAAGAGTCATCCTGACAGAGACTTATAGTTATACTGCCAGAGATTTTTTCCAAATATGTAGCTAAAAATCCATGTTTACAACGTTTTCAATCTCGCAATCGCTTAGCTATGACGTCTCAACCGCTCAGCTATGACGTCACAGCCTATGACACTGTGTTACAAAAAGACAGAGGCAAAGGGAAAATCTAAGAAAATGTAATAAACAGAAAATTCAATGTTTTATAGATGAATATGGAATTTATTTCACTCGTGAGAGAGGATTTTTTTTATACAATAGTTACTTTCATTCATATGTAGACTCAATATATCCCAGTGATCTTGAAATAAAAGATACGTGCATCGCACTCGTGAAAATATCAAAAAATCTTGTCCCACTCGTGAAATAAATTTCATATTCATCTACAAATCATTGAATATCCTCTATTTATATGATAAAACAAAATAAACTGATAGATGAAGATATGTTACTCCAAAACAAGAGGAACAGGCCAAAACAAGAGGACACATGACAATTAGGGATCAACAAAATAGTCTGGTAATTGGCAACAACCCAGGTAGATCTAGTAACTTGTCTGTGTGCCAGTGCTAACTAAACTCTATCACTATCTCCAAACTTTAAAAGATCACAATAGTGCTTTAGCATAAAACATAGTATTCACATGGTTAACCCAGTACGTTCCCCATAACATTGGCCACTCTTGGTCCAATGTACAAATATAAGGTATTTTGGTCTCATTTTTTCATAGGTGAATGAAATATGGAGTTGAAATATGAACATACCGAACAGTAATCAATCTCAAAAGTCCTTTGAAACAATACAAATTCGGAGCAGAGCAAACGCGGACTCGAAAAACATGGTGGTATCAGTTTCAATGGTGGAGTGAGCACCTCCAACCGACCGGTCACACCCACCGTGTGCTCCTTGTCATGATCAGGGAAAAAAGGAAAAATCCGTAGACAATTCAGTGTGTAAATAATGGCCTAACAGTTAGTGTGAAAAACGTCAGTCAGCATTTGACTTTATTTGCTGACAAGGTCATTGTATCGACCATAAAAACTTCAAACGGGACTTTTGATATCCTTGTTTAATCAACTTGTTTGTCAATAGCTTGCCTCGTTTTAGAAATTGCTCATACGTACATAGAGCATGCTCTTGCGTATCGAATCAACTGGGAGACAAAAACCCCATATGCAGGTGATAAGGGTACATTGCTACATAAGTGAGGGAAGTTGACGATTGAAAAATTGAAGTCATCAAGTTTATCATAAAGCTTTGTTGTTAGGATACCATTAAAGTCTTTTTCCAGTAAAATATCCAAATATGAGACAGATATGTCAGACTCTGTTGTATCTTTAATTCAAGATCATTGGGATATATCGAGTCTACATATGAATGAAAGTAACTATTGTAAATTGATAATACGTCGTCGATATATCTAAATGTCGAGTTGAAGGCCACAACAAGTGTTTTTTTCTTCTCATGTAGAAGTTTTTGAATAAATTCTGCTTCATGTGAATACAAAAAATAGCTCTGCTAATAAGGATGCGCAATTTGATACCCATGGAAATTCCAACAGATTGTCGGAAGACCTGAATAAAAAAATAGAAATAATTTCTCTTTTAGCGGAGTAAAAATTTCCATACTTGTACATGTTCATAATAGAACCCGAACAATGGGCTATAGAAAGAAGCGAACAAAGGAGAAGAATGGAAAAAACCCAGTGACGTAAATAAGGCGGTACCTCCAAACAATGCGTTCACAAAAGGTTGTTCACGGATCCCTAACTGGGGATTTTCCATCAGCGATTTCGTTGGTGCCCCTTATGGGTTTTTCCTTTTTACGTTCCTAACTTAGGTTATAAGGTTTGCAGTGAATATGGTATTGAACCAAGTAACAAAGAGACACACAATCAAGTTATTCAGTGAATAAAAAAAAAACAACCCCCCATTGTTTCCCCCGTATCTGTCGGTCATACTACTCCCAGCTAATTTCCTAGATTTTAGGGTATATTTGGTGACTGATTTTGAATAGAAATGACATAAATAAATAAATAATAATGAATAAATTCTTTAAATATAAGCAAGAAATCGTAGATTTTCTTTGCTGTTCAAATACCAAGTATGCGACTTTTTGTCATTTTCTATATAAATCTGTACAATATTAGTACACATTTTAAGACTTAGTAAAAAACAAACAAACAAACAATTTTTTTTAAAGAATACAAAATTTCCGATCAGGATCAGATCATAAGAGGTGAGCTGATCCAGGATCTAATTGTATATGATCGACTTAGCCACACCCTGGGAACTGGAAGTTGAATCCATTAAGGACAAAAAATCTATAATTTTAATAAAGTGTTAGCCCCATCCTGGGACCTTTGAGCGCTGGATCCAGGAGTCATGATTTGCATTATTTTGGTTGAGAGCCAAATATTTATTGTTATATGCACATATTTTGCTTGCTAGATGCCACGAGTAAATAAGAGGGTCAGATGGGTTTTTTTTTCAATATGACAAACTAATCCCAACTCTGGGCCCTGAACCAGGGACCCATGGGCCAGAAATTTACAATTCGGAAGAGGGCTATGCATTTAGCAAATAGTTTGCTAAATACTTATGAGTGGATACAAAGAAGGTTTTTTCAGAATTTCAACGTATGACCAAGACCCACTCTAGGTTCTGAACAATAGACCCAAGGCCACGAATGTCACAATTTTGATTTCATTATATTCCATTTCTAATTGCATTCTATGTGATAACTCTTTGAAAGTTAGGCGAGTTGATTTCATCATAATTCAACCAGAATGTTGATTTCGCCAGGTGAAAGGTCAGGAGCCTTATATGCATGTCAATCTCGTGTGATTGTGTTTGTGCTTCGCCCGTTATGCAAATTATCCCACGTTTCCAACTATCGTTGATGCCCTGGCATACTCAACAAACAACAGACAGTGATTCCTTAAATAACCCTACAAACAGGTGTCCATAAGGCAAGATGTTATAAAATACAATGCAACCTTGGGCCAAGGACCATAAATTTCACAATTTTTGTAAAGAACTCTTCATGCCAACAGTTTGTAAGATGTCCAGGAGTTAAGAAGATTTTTAGTTGAGTTATCCTTGTCTCTTTGTCCATCTATCACACTATCTTAATTTTTCTTCAAACTCCTCTTAATTTAAAAGTAGCCAATTCATGTTTTGGAATACAATAGGTGGTGTCCTGTAGATATGCATAGGTTTGAAAATATTTTCGCCAAGAGGACCGGTTGGGGTTGAAAAAAAAACGTATATATTTTTGCAGAAAATCTCTCAAAACTCCTCTTACATTTTAAAGCTGAACAACTACTCGTAAAAGGCATTGTCCGCCATATTTCTATTTCATCAGCGCTATCCCAACAACCCCTATATAAGCCAGAGACCTTTTAACAGTTCAAAGTATTACGCTGTAGAGGTCTCACTTGAGAAGACGTACATCTTACATTGCCGTATTACTCGGTCGTGATGAAATAACTGTCATATTTTACACACTTTTTCCGAGCCAGGAGAAAAGTAACATCAATTATACAAGTCAATGCATTATTTACAGACAGAAAATTCACGTACTTAAAACAAGGAATAAACTCTCGAAGGGTTTATATACCTGTGTGGAGGTGCCTATTTACGAGTAGTGTTCAGCTTTAAGCAGTAGCAAATTCATCTTTTGGAATTTGACAGGTAGTGTCCTGTAGACAACTATATGCAGTTGCGTCTCAGAAATTTTATTTTCACCCTTGGGTCCAATTGGGGTTGAAAACAGAAATTGCTTTTCTGTAAAAAATAAGTTCCAAGTAATCCTCATAAATTTTACGCTATTTCATTTATACATATATATATAATTTGAAGTAACTCATGCTCTCCATTATAACTAATCAGTATGGATTTATGGAAATAAATCATTGCATATTAACTATTTCCATCTTTGGATTCCTGAATATAAAAAGTCCCTTCTAAATAGCAAGATGCATTCAAAATACATACAAACTTGATACTTCACATTTTTATTTTATGTATACTTTGTACATATTTACAGATTTTAAAAAGAAAAACAAGGGATCCATTCACATATGATTCTGTAACAAGTAACTAAAATCATCTGCTCCTTGTCATATCTAAAATATTTTTGCATAAAACATATATATATATTTTTTATGTGCAACACCCTGTTCATTATGACATGATTCTCAGAACATGTCATTGTTCAAAAAAAAAAAAAATCTTGTCAGTACTTTTGTGTAAACTTTAAGACATGCTATCCCTCTTGCTCACATTCACACACACATGCACAAACAAACACAGAGTTTGTGAGAATCAGGAGTCCATTTCATGGTATCGGGCAAACATCGTCTTCTTTACCGACTCTCTGTAGTCGTCACCCGAGGTCGTACCATAATTAGCTCCCCTCATTCCTAGTCCAGCGGCCTGGGCTCGCCTTTCAGCCTGTAAACACAATGGAAAAAGTCTTCTACAACAGTTTAAATGTTACACTTATCATCAATATCAATTTTTCTCTCACTGCAAAAACTTCCCCTCATCTGATATCTCATGATGCAGAATTTCCTGTTCACTTTCTAAAATACACTAACTAAAAATCTACAAAGTTTTTTGAAAAAGTCGTTTTACATGATTTATTCATTTCAAGGAATTTTCACAACTCAATTTATAAATTCATTAATAACATATAAAGATTACCTCTATAGGATTGACGATCCCCTGTCCAGACTTGCCTAGACCTTTCCCTGCCTGCCACCCCATCTTCTGTAGGAGCTTGTTACCTATGTTGTCTCCTCCTATACCAGCCTTTGTTGGTTGCTCATATCTAAACAAAATTTTACAAATAAAATCTATATTTTGATCAACAAAATGTTTTTTAAATGTCTTGAATTTTTAAAAAAGGATTATGACAGATCTTAACCTTTTAATACCAACGTAAACAGAATTTGTCTGTAATTTTAGAGTTATTTAAGAGTTAATTAATTTTATGTTTATTTAATTGAAGCATCTATTTTAAAACTTACGGTACGGGAATGTCTGGTCTTTTGTGCCTGGGTTCTGGTGGTGGTGGAATTCCATATTTATCCCTGCGTTCCTTGGCTCTATCTCGATACTAAAAAGTCAGAAGCATGAATCTCACAACACTCAGTATAAATAGAATAGAATATTCAGTGAAAACTGTCTAATCCGACACCTGTGTAATCCATTTCACTGTGAATTCTGAGGTAAGATTTCATTCCCATTGTACTATTTTCCATGTTTTTTACACTGTGCAATCCGACACCCTGTCTATTCTGACACAAAATTCGTCTCCCAGTGCATATGGGTTTAGACAGGTTTCACTGTACAAATATAAATTCTCTTAATTTTAACAACAGAGATAATATTTTATAGCACCACTAACCTGGAAATGACCAGAATCACTGCCACCTGATGCAGCTTTTGCCTTGACTAAATTCTCTAAATTTTGCTGGAAATAAAAAGAAAATCATATGCTTAATTTTAATTTTACTTCATGTGCTTTATGACTACACCTGCTATACTAAGCACAAATTATCTAACCTGTACTATTTCCAAACATTATAACAATAAAAACACAGGCACAAGCTTCTTTTGTAGGAAATCCGTGGTAAAAAACTCTACAAACAAACCTTGTGGAGATCAGACATCTGCTGATGCTTGATGAGGATCTCTTTTGTCTGGAACTGACGTTTACACAAGAGACATGCCAGTTTGTTCCAATCAGTCAGCTTACTCTCGTCCAGAATTCCTGGGTCCTCCTCTCCCTGCTCTTCATCATCACTGTCTCCGCCGTAGGACGCCACCAGACCAGGCTTGGCACCACCTGCCACTCTACTAGGAGAATTAACCTGTAAGGCATAAAAACATAACAATATTCAACAGATACATTAAGCTGGTCACTTGGCTCTGTTAATCAGACTGAGCTCACTCCTGATAATGCTCGGTTATAAATTCTACGAAACATTACATTGTGTTGAAATTTCGTAACATACAATTCTGCTCAGTTGAAATGCCCAGATGCAGTACTTACAGCTGCTGGTGGTGGAGGCATTAACTTCTTGTCTTCTAGACCCCCTTTAGCCTGAAAAATAAAATGATTTAGTCATCAGCCTTCACATTTCACAAAAGAAACTGATACTGAACTACATACATTTTGAAATATTTTCTTGGACTTGATCACTTACACTTTTCTCCAGTATTGCATAGCCAGCATCAGCAGTGGCAGATTCTTTTCTCTCATTTTGACCACTCATAGACTTCAATGCTGCATTAAAGCCTTTCAAGGCTTCTTTCTGTTTATTCATTGTTTGAGCCCATTTTTCCATGTCCTATTGAAACAAAATTTCTTTGTACATGTATCTATCATCAGAATTGTACAAAACTTGTACATCTACAGTACCAAAATATGGAAATGCAATTCACAAGGACTTTTTGAATACAGAACAAGTGGACTAACCTTGGCAATTTTCTTGGCCATCTTGTTTTTCTCTTTTTTCTCTTCCTTCTTCTTTTTCTCTGTAGTCCCTTCTCCTTCGGTAGCTGCTCCCGGCCCTTGATTGGTGGGGGCGGGGAGGTAGGTTGATTTCTCGGCGTCCCAGTACATAAACTGCCCAGTCTGGGCATTGTAGTAGTACTGCGAGTTAGCATCATAGTATAGGGTTGTCAGAGGATCATAGTAGTACCCTGAAGTCTCCTCAAACTGGTATGTTGATACATCTGGTGGAGCTGTGAGCAAAATAATACATCAAATAAATGTTTACAGTTATACTGTATGTGTACATAAATTAACGTATTCAAAATTTAGCACAATCACCGGGTATGGAGTGGTCATGAATTAGAGCTATACATGTAGCGCTAAAAAATAAAAATAAAATAAGTTGTACTTATTGTCTCTAAGTTAAAGTAAAATTTTAATATCTTACTCTAATTAATTTTTAAACATCGTATTAGATTATTGCTGTTCAATTATCGTGTCCACCTGGCTGAAAATGAGCCTTCAGGTATTTATTGTGCAGTCGAGTTTTATTATTGAGCATTTAATTAACGTTTAACTATTAATTAAAAACAATTAACTTAAGATTTTCTGATCCAGGAGTATTAATAATGTGTAATTATGTATGTTAGAATATCATTGTGTAACTAATACCGTACATATATGACGTATATATACATTGTTGAGGGTCACATATTGAGTATGCCGGTCGACACGGCTGAACTGAATGGTCCAAGAGACAAATGCCAATAACCCATTTTATATTAAAATTAAATTTAATTCAAGTGAATTTGGAAAAAAATCACATTATACATAGATATATATATTTACATACATTTATCTATGCCTACTGCCTGGCGAAATTGATGACGACTAAATCGGGCTCCATGTTCGAGGCCTGATAAAATGGCAGATCGAAGCAAGTAATGAAAAACATCATATATTCATTTATTAACGGTAATCATGAATTAGTGCATCACTGTCTGCGCCAAAGCCGCTAAATATGAAGCCCGCTTTTTTAAGTACACATACAGTAATTGCCTATCTAACAGAATGACAGACACAGAGGTGGCTCAGGACTTCTCTTAACCGAATTTTTCAGACAACTGGAGATTGGATAGGATCTTGAGGCATAAATGCAGACTACTAGTAGATTTGCACTATTTGTACCAAAAACTTCATGGGTAGTGATCAGGTTTAACCATCACCCGTGGTACTTAAGTTTGGTTATTTCTATGGCACAATATCTACACCCACGTAACCATGAGGGCAGTACATAGGCTCTAACTTGTGCACAATTTCCAACCCTTAATTACATCATCACATACATGTATAAATATATATATACTCTTTTTTATTAATCTTTGTACAGTCCTCCGGTTCATTGTAGTATATAAAGTACTTACGATATTTCGGGTACTCTTCAGTAGTTTTCTCCTCCTGAGCAGGTGCTTGTTGTTGGTCTTTGTTCTGACCCTAAATCAGTTTAACAAAATATTAGACTTGAAACATAAAATAAGTTGTAGATATAATATACATATACTTTATGACAGCTGTAGATTTCCTTACCTTCTTTTGCTGTGAACCCTTGGCTGCCAGAGATTTATTGATGGCTGCCTGTGCTACAGCTGCTGCAGCATTTGTCGAATCCGCTACAAGAAAAGAGAAAATCATTCTATATCATTTTAATTCCCTTACTGTGCTACTCAGAGTGGACAAAAGTAATGACTTTCACTCAACAACTTGTAGTTACTGCTCTATGCAGTGTTCAATGCTTGATTTAGTATATATATATGACAGTTTCTTGAACTTACTTTGGGTTCCCTCATAGTACTGAGCATAAGCTGCCTGGTTATAATCTGTACCCTGGTAGAAACTCTGGTCATAATAACCCTGCTGATTTGTCTGGTTGTAGTCCCAACCCTGGCCCTACAAACATAGGAAATCACACCATATTTATATTTTTTCTAGCCTTTATGAAACCTTTAAAAGCTTTTTACAGTAACTTAATGGCAACAGTGAAAATTTTTTTTTTGCTTTACTATATGTTAAGTTTTAATTTAATAAAACGGGAATTTTATCCCACATAAAAATTACAGAGTACACTTAGATAGATGTGTTTGTTTTGATTTCCCAATGTTAGTACAAAATTTACTTTCACTTTTACCTGTGCTGTACCATATTGGCTTGCTGCAGCATTTAAGGTAGCCATTCTGTAAGACAACAATCTTCATTGTTAATTTCTTTCACAATTTGTTATGTCTTAGATTTAGCCAAATTTTTTTCTCAACAAAAATATTAACCCGAAGAATGTGCCATGTACATTTTCATGAACCTAAATGTGAATGCACGTCAAATTGAGCCTAATGTAAAATTGTACACATAACACTTACACAGTGGAGAAAGTGTTTTTGGCAAAGTTCACAAGGAGTTGCTTTCCGTCGACTTCCAGTGGTAAATGATTGTTGAACTGATCCATCAGCTGAGATGCCTCGTTAACAGTGTTCAACTCCATGAACCCGAACCCTTTGGAGGTGTTGGTGGCCTCATCTCTAATTATCTGAACATTCTTCAGTGGGAAAGTGGTGATCTGACCCATCACATGTACAATGTTGTCCTCTGTAGTAAGAGCATCCAAACCACGCAAAATCAAAGCTGTAGAGCAATACAGTATACAGCATTAAAACACCCAACTACAACTGTATTACATAATATGGTGTGTAAAAACTCTGTTGCAACAGAAATTTACATAATCTATAAGGGGTTAGGTATATATATATACAGTAAACACTTTCCATAACCAGACTATCTAATACATTTGCATTACATAATGCAGTGTGTAAAAATTGATCTCGTTACAGAAATTTAAATACAATCTATAACGGGTTAAAAAGAACTGCGAACGATAGCATCGTTCTCCCGCCTACCTCCAAGTCAATTTTCAAAAGTTAACACATCTGAATGATTTTTCATATCTATATAGATATTTATATGAATTTTCATAAAACATTACTTCTTTGGGAAAACAAAGAGAGATAACTCTATAATTTGGAGAAAACTTGTGTTTTTCACTATAGAAATCAACAGAAAACAGAAAATATTTTTAGAACATCCCCCCCCCCCCCCCCCCCCCCCCCGTGAAACAAAAATTCCTTTTTACAGGTAATATGGACTGTCAGTTTTCACAAATTCATACCAAAGTCCCACGGGGGGGGGGGGGGGGGGGGGGGACATATGTTTATAGACCAAAAGCTACAAAAATGCTTATTTTTTCACCAATTTCAAAGGGTTTTACAACTAAAACATTGTATTTTATTAATAATATATGTTTAATTTTATATGCATAAAACATAAGAAAAGATTTAAAGAACATTTATTCATATCCAAGAATATTTTAAAATGTGTTGATGCTTAAAAGCTCAATTTCAATGGAAAATATAGTCTACCCCCCTTATTTAAAGAGCTGGAATTAGGGGTAGTTAACTATTTAACACTGGCATTAAAATTATCAGTCAATTACCATTGGACTCTTCTTTGCATTCAACAAAGATTTTAAGGCCAAATTGCCATTAGTATTGAATTAAATGGGTGTAAAATGTAGGTGGGAATCGAGAGTTAGCGTGCGTAGTTCTTTCTATATCCATCAAATTTAATTACTGTAAAATGAGATTAATAAGTTTGATGAATTCCTCATTATAGAACACTTAACAAGGACCTGTAATTCAACTGTACTACTCACTGTTACAAGGATTTGTACCAATCTGATCAAAGCCATCACCTTCTTGTTTTCTCTCTGACTCTGAAATACAAAAACAACATTGCTTTACATCCACCCCAAATAAATCGGATATCCACCAGCCTGATTTTGTCCAGTCCCCTGATCTGTCTGTGGGGCAACCCTTTTTTCACATCATTTCAGTCATATAAAGCCAAATGTAACAATCAGAGTATTTCTTTTCATTTTCTCTCTCTCTCACACCGTACATGCCATTTCTTAATGGATTCATTCACAATGGAAATAGACATATTTTCTTTCATACGTCTTCATTACAAATGTCAGTAATAGAAACCGAAATATATTCTTCTAAAATCTACAAATCATGCTTTTTTCAACAACACATGTAAAAATGTTAATGGTTATCATATGTCATTCAAAATTATGCCAAAAGTCCATCAGTTATTTGTTAATGAAGAAATTCAACAAAGTAGGATTGTTGATTTAAAAGTTTAAAGATTTTTATGCAGAAAAAAAAAAAAACCAAACTGTCATTGATATGGTTTTCAGAAATGAACTTTTTATGCAATATGTTTTGGTCCAGTAATACTCAAAAGTAAGTAAATAGAAGTATATCGTTCTGTACCCCCTTCCCGTCCCATACCATATTTATGTAAATATACCCTACCCTCCCATTTCCCTACATGACAGCACACCTGATAATTCTCCAAGTGTATTATATACTCTACCTTCTCGCGACAAATTGCACTTGAAACAGTGATCCCTTCTCTTGAAATTATGGACGCCACACTAAAAGTTAAGAAATTTACATAGAAATTTAAATTATCCTAAAAATATCATTGAACAAGAGAATGGAAGAAAAATCAATAGTGTTGGTAGCGAGGTGTGTAATTTGTAAATGTTTATACTTACCCTGTCAGTTACAACCCTTTTAAATATGATTTGCATGTCTTCTACATTACAAACTTATTGTATTGTGACCAAATAGCTTACAAATCAAGTATAGAATAAAATAAACCATTCATACTTCCAGGTTCTATCTTGTTTTGGTCATTTTCTTTTTCTGTTTAAAAACTGTAAAGTTGAATCTTTTTCCTTTGTGATTTTTGCTTTTTTTTAAAATTTTTTTTTTTTAATTCTATTACATAAACCTGTACTGGAATCAACAATTCAAAATCTGATGTTAATATTATGAAATGTATCTAAATTATATGGATTAACTACAAAAACAAAACAAAATGCTCACCCCACCCACCCACCCCCAAAAAATCATCCCTCCCACATCAGATAAACCAGCCACACGGGCCACCACAAGACGTAGACATTACCTTGCTACAGGTCCAGTCTGTTTTATGGATAGGTCCCTTTTCTGGTCCTGTCTTTGGGGTGCTATAGTGCATGGTGGCAGAATAATGATTCTGGATATTCAACACACCCTGTAAAATAAACACAAAAATGATTTACAGGTCATCCTAAAGGGAAAGTTACCAGAAGCCAAAAGAGCCTGTCCACAAAGAATCATGGATTGTATTCTGTATCTAGTAGCAGTACACAGATAAGGTTTTGTAATGGGATCTGTCATCATGCATGGGAATGAGTAAAGTTGGTTATCGTCATATCACTATTTCCCAGTACGGGGACAAAGCTACAGTAGTATACAGAATAGCAGAGGTTTTGATTATCTAGGATTCAGATCAGAAATATTGATCAAAATCTTGAAGTTAGGGAAACTATTGCAATAGATCATGATAGTTCCATTCCTTCTTAATAAGTTTGTTATAGGGCTGTCACGAGTACCCGAAATAACCGAGAACCACGGTCCAAGTTGTTCGGTTCGGTTCCGGATCCATTTTTCCGGATTTTGGTTCGGGTCTGGTTTATATATTAGAGTCTGTTTAATACAAAAAATGGCGTCGAAATCAAAGGAATCATGACGATAACAGTGATAAAGAAACATCACAACTGAAATCTACTTCATTCCATGACAAAACACTTGTCACGGAAGTATTAGATAATTATCAAAACCAGCAGGAATGGTCAGGTTGTGGCTAATAGTAGGCAAAGACACCGATGTCTAGACGTCCGCATGGTTAAGACTTGTTTTCAATTTAAATTTAATGTAACAAATAAAGATTTTTCAAGTTAAATTCATGAAATTAAGGTTTAAAATAGTTGTAAATAACCGACCCGAAAAACCCAAAACCGAACCGAAAATTTACAGAACCGACCCGACCCGGAAAAATTTTGGAAGCGTGACAGCCCTAGTTTGTTAGTCTTGGGATTTGCCAGGCTTATCAGAAGATCACCACATTATTTTTCACTTTATCATGATCCTACACTGTAGTTATTATTCATGTTTTTTTTTTCAATATCAAACATTTCAATCTTGATATGAACTGTGTTTGAATTTGTAAACCAACCTCATTTCACCAATAAACTTAGTCAATTTATCCTCAACTTGTATACTGAATATTTTATTGAATTAGAAGTGTCTCTCCTAAATTTTTTTTCAGATCTCTCCTTCGATTTTCCCATTGGAGCATGATTTGAACAATAATGACCAATTCAATTTTACAAAAATAAAACATCAAATTTATTTGAATTGAAAAACAATCGATGAAATGTTCTCCAAATATGTACATTCTTGACGAAATTTTAACTTTTGTTTTTCTATTAAATGCCCCCACCCTCCAAACTACATACATGTATATCTTTTGACACTGATAATGAATCCTTAACATTCCCCCAACATGTTAACACTTGACATTGTTTGATATGATAATGAACTCCTAACCCCTCCCCACCCCACCCCACCCCCACACCTCCCTTTCACTTGTACACTCTTGACAGTGTTTGATATGATAATGTACTCCTTAATTTCTCCCCTAGATTGTACACTCTTGACACTGTTTGATGTGATAATTAACTCTTTAATTTACCCCCCTAGTTTGTAAACTCTTGACATTGTTTAAAATGATGATAAACTCATAAATGCACCCCCCCCCCCCAGTTTGTAAACTCTTGACAATATTTGACATGATAATGAACACCTAAATCCCCCCCCCCCCCCCCAACCTAGTTTTAAACTCTTGACATTGTTTGATGTGATAATGGACTCCTAAATTTCCCCCCTATTTTGTAAACTCTTGACATTGTTTAATATGATAATGAACTCCTCAATTTCCCCTAGCTTGTACACTCTTGACATTGTTTTGACCTGATAATGATCCATCCATCGCTGGGCATCTGCCACACTCTGAAACTCCACAAATGCAAAGCCCCGGGAGGTACCTGTTTAACGATTTAAATGTCATTAGCACAAAAAGTTTATCTTTATGTGGGGCACAACAAATCAGCATCATGATTCATCCTCCAAAATGTCTGTATCAGGACCAAGGGGCATCATTAGTTCTCCACTACTTACCTTCTTCCATCAGAACACAACATATCAATTTCTTGTGTTTTTATCTAAAGTTGCACATCAGCTATTGTTGTTTCATTCCCTATTAATTTTCTTTAGCAATAACTCTACTTTTTCTGTGCTTTATATTTGCTCAACAATTTCATCATACAGTATCCCCCCCCCCCCCCCCCCCAAAATTAAACTTTCTGTCTTATGAGTTGTGTATATGATATGAATAAATAAATATACGATAGCAATAACAATTATTCAGGAAACATCATGTTCAAGTGGTTTACAATGAAAGGAAGGTAGTTTTGTTTATACCTGTACTTCTTCTCATAAGGCGTACATCTCTGACTGGGGCCCCAAACATCATCAGTTCTGCACGAATCTGAAACAGAGCATTGAAATATTTTATTATCTTAATTATACCATAAATTTTCACACTTTTTATATGATACCAAACAAAAGCACAATATTTTTTTTCCTCCTTGACCATAAATACTAGGGATGGCAATTTGTAACCGGTTAACTGATTACTCGGTCAGAATGATGGCAATCGGTTAGAAAATCTGTAATTGGTTAGTCGGAAAAATAAAAAAATATATATATAAATTTGAACCTAATTTTGTTAATTTTTTTTTTTTTGAAAAAAGAGATCTTTGCATAAACGTTTTCACATATCCAAGCTGACTTGGATGTAATTATGGTTTTCCGGATTGATAGGGTAATTGGTCATTTTGTGTTTGAAGTGTTAATTACTGTTAAAACACCATGTCATTACCCTGACTGTCCTTGTATTTCTTTAATAATTAAATCACTGTTGAGAACAGCGAATTACTATGTTTGTTTTTTTTTGCAGTTATCTATCAAATAAATTGCTACACAAACTTTGTAAATTAAGTGATGTATTTCAGACTTAGTTTTAATTATGGTGACAATGCTGAATGAACGTATGTGAAATCTGCTTTGGAAAAATATCAATGATTTCTCAGTCATGATTCGTGGTTTTCTTATTTTTTTCCAGTCTACATTGAAACTAAAATAAAATATAGAAGCATGTGGTTTTTTTTTTTTAAAAATCAAGAATCAAGACAAATAAAATGATTTAACATCTAGACTCTATCAGTCTTCTTGTATATATGAATAGAGCTACGTAGGAAAAAAAGTATGTACATCAAGAAAATGTGTATTTTGATATGGTTAACCGGGTAATCGGTCAGAACGTCTTGCGGTTAATCGATTAGCAATTCTGTATTTGATTGCCATCCCTAATAAATACAATTTAATCCACTGCAATCACAAAATGAAGTCCACAGAGAGGAGAAAATATGTCCGAGTTTGACTTAATTTTGTAAGATTGCTGCAAAAAGGATATGCTTTTCTGTGACTGTTGCAATATGATTCAATGTTGTTGATATTCTTACATCCTTCTCTTCTACTTGTGGGGGGAGATTTCGTAGCAGGACTGTATTAGTGGGTGTGTCTGTCATCCACTTTTCTCCAGCCCTATCCTCTCTCTGATCTGATCTATGAAAACTGTCACGACTGTCCGAGTCCTAGGATGGATATACAACATACATCAATAACTCAATTAAATGTATATATTTATAAAAGAATGAAGCATGTGTTTTATAAAATGCCAGTCTTCAAGGAATGCAAATGTCACCCAGGCTTGACCTTTACATCAAACCAAAATCAGTTGCAGACAAAGGTGTTAATTAAAGTGACAGATAAAGATAAGCCTCTAAAATTTTCTGCAGCAGACATAATTTATCCCAGGGGATATATTGTACTGCTCTCTCATCCTTTTCTTCAAAGTTTACAATAAGAACTTTTTCAGCAAATATAGAATGAGGTTATTATCCAACTACCTGTTAAAACTAATATTATTCTTGAATTTACATAAGGCAGCCAAATAAAAAAGAAAAGAAAAAAAAGAAAATAATAAAAAAGATATCTTTATATCTTGTTTTTAGAATTCAATAAAATCATAACTCATTGTGGTGTATTTTACCAAAATAAAGTATGAACATTATTAAAAGACATTGGAAAGTCAGGGTTTTCTAGAGAAAATAGGTTGAATACTGCAAGACAGCACTGTGTTATTTCTTACCCTATCATCATCAGATGATCTGTGTGAACTGCGTTCTCTGTCTCGTCTATCTCTCCCTCTATCACGATCTCGGTCGCGATCTCGATCTCTTCTACGATTTCTGTCACGATCATGTGATGATCTTCTCTCATCTCGACGACGTCCATCTCTGTCCCTGTCACGCCTTCTTGACCTTCATAAACAGTAATCTTACATTTTAAGACAACAATTCAAGTTTTTCTTAGTTTAAAAGTTAGTTACAAATGAAACCTTTTTTTTTTGAATTATATTACAAGCCAATGTATTTGCCAGTCTACAACCCACAAGAAGATCACTCCAGTTATTTGTATGGTTTACTCACCTGTCCCTATCCCTTTCTCTATTATAGTCTGGCTGATTATCCATGTCTTGTTTTTGGCCAAGATGACCTGGTACAAGGTCATATCCGCCTTCTTCGTAGCCGTAATTTTCATTGATGTATTCACCCTCCTCATACTCCTCCCCAGCGTGGTTGTACATATTGATGGGCATACCCACAGCTCCCATAGGCCCCTGGTATATCCCATACTGACCCTGTTGCAGGGCAAATGGATGAATCTCCATGTCACTAAAAGGAAACAAGACTTCATTATTTTTATTTTAAGATTACTATGTAGACTCACTGGCACTGAAGTTAACGCAAATACTGCGAATGTGCATGTTTAAAAAAGGATGGGTAGGACACTCCTGAGGTACTGTAGGTGTTTTTTCGGCCAGATGCAACATAAAGCATTTCAATACATAAATATGATTTTGTTCCACTCAAATGCTTTACTCAAAGATTTTTTATTATACATCTCCAAGTGCTCATGGCCATAATCATAAACAGGTTGGGACTGATCACCCAAATGGAATACAATAGCCTGTTTGGGCTATAATATCTCAAATGGGATATAAATTTACAGCGCAAAAATTTAAAAAAAAAAAAAATAATAATAATAATAGTAATTTGATTATAAGTATGGTAATTGTGGGTTGTTGGTAACCACTCGCCCACTTGCAAATGTGAGTTAAATTTGCTGTAGGTGATTAGATATTATAAATCTGGTGGCCCACATGGTGAATGATTTTCTTTTCCAGAACATAATCACATTTTAGTTTCAGTGATTTTTCTACACCCAATTTAGGTCCGAATATCGGCCCTTTCCCCTATCAAAAATTACCGATATTTTCCCAATTTCAGTTGCTTCCCCCCCCCCCCCAGAAAAACCGTTATTGATTTTACTACATTGAATTTTTTATGTAGGACTTATATAAATTGGAAACGCTATTGCTCTCGGTCATTCATACTCTTAAAATAATAGTGAAAAACAGCAGATCATTTTGTGCGTTTACAAGACATAGAAAAACACATGGATCATGTCAAATGTCAAACTAAATACATCGTAAGAAAAAGTGTAAGATGCATGTGAACAGGCGAAACAAAGCTTTATTTGTAAATCCAAGAACTAGTAGTTCTACAACAAGCATCCCTGATTCCATGAAAATCAAACCGTTTCTACATCCGGCAGATGCAACTAATATTGCAGCACAATGATTAGGGTGATTTAGAAAGCTAGAAGAAAAATGATTTGTTTTAAATCATGTCAGATTATATCATCTTCAAGGGCTATTATGAGTAGAATTTTTTTTTATGTCTACCATTATGGCAAAAAAAAAAAAAAAAAAAGAATTGAAATATAGGACGGTCACAACTAATGACAACTTTCAAAGATTAAAAAAAAGTTAAAAATGTAGAACTGTGTCTAATTTGTTATTTTGTAGTAAATATTGTGAATAAATGATGTTACATTTACTTATATATTTTATTTCACCTGTCAATTAAGGTTTATTTCAATCTTATTGATTTTTCCCAATTTTACACAAATGTCGATGATTTTTCCCAATTGTAAAGGCCCAGGCCCCTTTTAAAAAATGTAGAAAAATCACTGAGTTTTATTTTGTATGTACTCTCAGTTTCAATAAAGTGCTCTTCTGACCAACTGCCCTAGTTTATTTGTGTTGTGTGCTAAGCAGATTAGTCAAACACGTACATGGCTAAGAACAGTCTTGCTGATTTATCGAAGCAGTTAAAATTGATTTGAGATTGTTCTTATAGAAATATTGTAACAGTCCGCTATGATTGTCAGACACTCCATCCACAACAGTTATTTATAGATACCAAATGCACACAATGGTTTGGAATCAAACCTCATCACAGGTTGGATGTCATATACTTCAGGTCTACGCTTAAACACTACAAACTGTAATGAACATATTATTGGATCGAAGTTTTTAGAAAAGAGAAAACCTGACAAGCTTCAAATACTGCGAATATTGATGACTAAAATAAATAAAAAGAATCAATTAAAAAATTAAGGATTTTTAAGGTTATTTTTTAATTGACATATAATGTGGGCCTGTGGATCACATTGTGGGCCTGTAAAGGATGATGTGACATAACTGCTATCTGGGGCTCTGGGGCCCCTTTTTTCTATGACGAATTATATTTAATCTACAACGATTTTGATAGTTTTCAAACATGAGTGAATAAATATGACGCCTTTTGAATAGTTTCAATAGTTCTGACACATTTTCATTCTAAGGATTACTGCATTATCTATGCTTTTTTAGACCCTATGACATTAACATTCGGCCAGGTTTGTGACAATATGTTCTTTTAGGGTGCGTCTTTTTACCACAAGGAACCACAAGGTACCACAAGGAACCACAAGGAACCCCAGGGATACCACAAGGTACCCCAGGGACACCATATACATCCTTAATTATTCTAAATATGGTTTATATGCACTTGCAAACTACAAAAAAATGTTTTTGAAGGGCAAATTAACACTTTAATTGTCCTAAACAGAGCAGTTATCCAAGATAAAAATTTAAAAGTAGTATACTTAAACAATGAAGCTCAATTATGCATGTATAGTTTTGAGGAACTTTAATAATATTTTATATGGTGTGAAAAAAATAATCCTGTAACTATGAATGGTGTATTTCAATACACAGAACCAATGGAAACTCACATAAACCCAAAGAATACCCTAGGCTTAAGGTACCACAAGAATACCCAAGGGTACCCTAGGAATATCTCAATGACACCCTATTTAACTATTTAAAAAAATGTACATGTAAATATGGTTTATATTTGCATTTGTAAATGACATAGTAACTGATTATTGTATATAGTGCAATACACAAAATAAAATGATACCCACATAAGAACCAAAGGATAGCCTTCAGTTACCACAAGGACATCCCAGGGTAACCCCCAAAATATCTCAAAATATCCCAAGGACAACCAGTTTGACCTTTATAAATCTAAAAATGGTTTTAATGCTTTTGTAAATAACTTAGTAACTGTTTATTGCATATTTTAATACACAAAAGGATACCAAGAACCCCAATTAAGGAAACTCTAGGTATCCAAATAATACCCTTAAGTATCCCAATAAATTTGAGCTATTTCAATAACATCCAATTCAGCTTTAATAAATGAAAATAGGTTTATGTGCATTTCTTAATTACATTGATCATTATCTGTTTATTGCTTAATTCAATACACAAATTAGAGGATTCAAAGGATGTACCCCAAGCGTACACCAATGACACCTCATTCAAACTTAATAAATGTCATATGCATTTGTAAGTTAGATATTAAGTCTTTCTGAGGTTTATTTGCATTCACTGTGTACAAGTTAATGATTATATTATGGTCATCTACCCAAAAATTTCAGCCAATCTGATAAGAATTTTTCACTCACGATTTCAGTCAAATTGTCAATTTATCTGTGTTACCTGCTATATAAATGAAACAAGTGTATAATTTATTATTATTAAATGTTATTATTAACCTGAATAAAGAAAATACAACAGTAAATCATCCTAAAAGTTTTGCAGTATGATGGCTATAACTTACAAAACTTTATGCATAAAAAAATATAACTCATGCATGAAAGGGTCATAAAACCTAAATAAATAAATTTTATGCAATAGGATAATTTTTGTCAATGTACCACTATACACCAGAATATCGGTATTATTGTACCCAGCCCAAGTAGCCTTTCGGTGACTTAACTTGCATGGATCATGCATCTATAAGGTTGTACATGTATACTACCACACTTGCTTCAGATGCTGGATCTGACCTACATTTTTTGGTTGAGTGACCAGAATTATTTCTTTTTTCTTTTTTTTTTTTGTGCAGGTTTCATTCTAGCTGAAGTAACTGTAAGCCCCCCGTGGTGATCAATCTTGCATGAATGATACCTCTAGGAATGTACACATGCAGATCTATATGGTTTGGTTGCTGAATCTTAGTACATTTTTCTGTATGATTGAACAGTGTGATTTAACAAAAAAGATTTGGAGCAAGCCCATGCCTATATATTACATGTAGTACGTACCTTTTAAAACATCCTACACGGGCGCGGATCTAGAAACTTTTCAAGGGGGGGGGGGGTGAAGAGGAAAAAGGGTTGTTATAACATACATATACATACAGTAATAGTTTAACAACTTAATAGGATACATGGGCGTAGAAGCGTTTTCAAAAGTGAGGGTGAAGGAAGCCAGGGAAAAAATATGGATTTCCTGAAAATTTTTGTTAAAAAAAATTAAAGGAAAAAACCCTCCGAACCCGAAAATCCTAATTTGTAGGGGGGGGGGGGCATTTTCTTTCAGCAACCAAATTTATTCATACATTACTACATTAGCCTTTCACTGAACAATTTCTATCGTAAAAACACAACAAAAAATTGGGTCTCCCCCCCTTCCCCCTCTCTCTCTCTGTCTATGTGTCTCTTGTTAGCAAATCCAAAAGGGATGGGGGGTTGCAAATCCCTGATACCCCCCCCCCCCCTCTTTGGATCTGCCACTGCTACACAGACCAAACATGTTTAAATCTTGCACTAATTACTACCCTAATATTTATAAAGGTTAGACTTTAATGTTGTACTTATAAATAACATTTAGTTGACTTGTACATCAAGATGACCTATGTAATCTTTTGATTTAATACTTATGTTTTGATAGTTTCTCAAGTGCATAACAGTTTTGCTGCATTTGATTGTAATATTTAACTTAATTTTTTAATAAGTGTTGTTTGATTCATTGCATCAATCTTAAAACTATAAATATTTTGGTACACAATTACAGGTACATGTAATGTTTTAATTCGTATCTGTATAAATTCATTAATACTTTAAAAAAAAATATCAAAATCCATTCTCATGCAAGTTTATTACAATTTACAAATTCAGCACTGATTAATTTTCTCTCACAGGAATAGTAAATAAATTTATTTGAGGTAATCAGTTTCCAGTCAATTGAGTTTAATGTTAATATGTGATAACCCTTGGCCAACTTTTTCAAACATGTTTTAATTTATGCTATGTATTAATTTTACCAATGGCAGGTGTCATTTATGATTCATTGATGCAGGAAAGAATGGGTTATATACGATTTTTTTAACAGCATTCAAAATTATTGCCCATCTTTAGCAGCATGATCTGTAGAAATGTTGAAAGTACCATTATGTAGAATTATGGGGAAAAATGGGTCAGCTTCAGGTATTTTTGTAAAAA